ATTGTGATGTTATGTAAAGGACTGGAAAATGAATGTGAAAACTATGGAAACATATTGGCAGAGTATTGTCACTTACTATCAGGACATATGGATAGAGAATACATTCAAATTAATAAGAAATGCCAAATATCAAGGTACTCAATCACTGATAGCAGTGGACTATCATATTTTTGATGTCAATTATATGAAAGTTAAGACTGAAACTACCTTTTACCTCATCATACCTAATGAAAAATTGTGTGAAGAAAACATTCACAGCCTCTTTGAAGCACTTAGACCACTAAAAAACAAAAATTTTCACGCAAATATGTTGTGTCTCCTTCCTTCAAAACATCATATCGGATGGCGCCACTTTCGTCGACAGTTACTTATCTGCACGCAAATCGAGGAAAACGTGAATTGATTAACGTTTACGTGTTTCCAAATTTAAAATCACAGCATATTCAAACTTCTCAGTGTACCTTTTAACATCTAAGTACAACTAAAACGATAAAAACTTACCCTCAACCAAGGCTATATAAACCAGGTAGAACGCTCCGGGAAAAAAGTTGGAAACAATAAATTAGTTGCAGCATTCCCTGATGACGCGAATGTGGGTCAGCGGCCGGCGGCCGGCGGCCGCTAACACTGTATGAGGATGAGTGCACGGAACTTTTGCTTGTTGGAGATTGCGCTAGGCAGTTAAATGTTAATATTAGGATATGTTTCGAAAGTAAATTGAACGACGCTTCGAACGCCGTCAATGAATTTGCGATGCGACGCGTATTTGTTTAGTTAGAGCCGGCGAACTTTTACCTTCCGACCGCGCGGGGAGGCGATATGGTGCCACACTGACGGTTTTTAAGATAGCTCAAAATTATTTTAAGCTAAAGAGCTGAAATTTGACTCGTCCAATCTTTTGATCAAGCTGGATCTTCTGGTACAGGTCGCATATTTAAGGTACGTGAGGTTGTTGACCTATGTTGTCGCTCGTGAGCCTCTGCACAGTCTAAAAACAATGCAATTTCTGAACACTCAGTGCCAAGAAATCCTTCACACAAAGATGACACTTGGCAGAAAGAAGAGCTGTCGGTTTCTTATCGTTCGTATGTGTCGTGTTTTCACAAGAGTTTAGTAAGGTCAGGTCCGTCACGTGACCTCCCCTCATAACTCAATAGGTTTACTTTCATAGAAGCGTTTATCAATCGCCGGAAATCTCATAGCCAATCCCAATTCCCACTGGACACTGGATCCATACCCACATGGGGCCCTCCTGACTGGCCACTCCCTCTGAAATTCACAATAACATTGGGCTGCGGCCACGGTTATGTATTAATGCTTTTCACTGACAGAAATACAACAACTTCAACGCACCACAGTGCACGCCGCCACAACAGTCCGACCCACGTCCCTGATATCGACTAGCACCCGGCCGGATGCACATACGCGGAGCCAATCAGTCCGAATGTGACCTGAAGCTTACAATTGCTGTGTCGCATGGCGCATGGCACAGGACAATTCCTAGCAGCTGTCGGCTGAAGTGGAGAAACAGCACGTTGCGACACACCGCACCGGCGACAGAGCTCAGCAGGGCTGGTTTGAGGCTAAAGCCAGAGGTAAGGGCGGACACAGGCAGAGGCACATACATTGCACGACAAATAACAGGATGTCAGTTAGGGATATAATTCAAGACGAATGATTCAAGACGGACTGAAATAATGCACATTCTGCTCACTTAGATACCAACTTCAAACTTGACATTTATAGCACCACGGAAACAATTGGCACACAGGAAAGAAACAAAAGATGAGGTGTTTTTAACTCAAGGAGGTAAAAAGAGGTTGCATATGATGGAACAGCCCGAAGTGCAGACAAGCACATATTTTTGGTAATAGCTATCAGCTGTCCTACTTCTCTTCTCCCTTCACCAACTACTGGACACATTTGAAGCATCATATTAGCACCAATGTCCATAACAAAAGCTTGCAAGTAGTTTTATGAAGCCAAGGGAAATATGCCTACATCATGCATGTAAGCTCAAAATGCATTACAAAGGAAGGTTATCTAAAGAGAATAGTGGGCAAAAGCATTTCATAGTTAAATTATTCAAAACTGCACACAGGGCAAACATAAAAAGCAGCAAGTGTAGTGTTCTGTTATGCTTAAAAATAGTCCAAAACAAAATACAATCTTTTCTTGTTTGAATTGGTTGTTCTTCTATGCCATTTCATCCATATCTTGATTACAGATGGGCTGTTACTGTAGGCTGATGAAGTGACACTTGATTGCCTTTGTGCGAGTTTCAGTTGCAGCCTCCTATAGGTACTGCACTGGAAAGCAGATTGAATTGAATGCCTCTGAAAGATAGGAATATAGGCAAAGTTAGCTGTAGTAGTGTCAATGATAAAAGACATGACATTTTTGTCTTTTGACATACATTTGTTGAAGTACAAAAAGGTACAAAATAAATTGGTTTGTTTCAAGACACGCACACTGCACAAGTGCACAAAGCCGCACAGACATTACACAAGCATATGAAATTGGTACACATAAAACTTGATGATCAGAAAGGTCAAAACTAGCAACAATAATTAATTGAAGTAAAAGTTACAATCACAATCATTTGATTTAAAATGACTTGACAAAGTCACAAGACGCAACGCTCCTTTTCACTTAAGAAAAGTTTTATGCTTTCATTATCCTCCACATATCAACCAGCTTGATACCAGGCTGTGCAATAGTGGGTACATAACCCCATGTTTCCATTTTATTAGAGCAAGTGGGGTTACAACAACAATGCTAATGTCAAACCCACATCTGTAACCCGTACTGAAGTTTCAATCACCTTACAAGAACACCTTCTGGCAGTTTGATGGGCAGAATGGTCATAACTACTTTCTCCTCATATTCAACACAAATTATCTCTTATACAGATACAGTTTAGACTTGGTTATGGCAAGCATTTTCGAGAAAAGATATTATAAAAGTCCAAGACAAAGGTCGAGAGAGACAACACCAACATAAAACACCGACTATGTAGCACTAATACTATCAAATTCATAAAAATATATACATGAGTCGATCAGAAATTCACTGTAGATTTCGAAAATGGTGTCAAATGCCACTCAAATACCCCCATTCGCATGTACGAAGCAATATAACACTGACCTTCAGTTCCGCGTGCCATTCTCCATAGGCCACTGTGTATTAAATAACGCGTTCACTGATCGCAAAAAAATGAGACCCACATATGACGCGTTTGCTACCAGCCAATCAGCGCTCGAGATGCCGAGCGCTGATTGGTGGAGAGGGCCGTCGTCAGCAGTCCATTACATGTTGTTTTCCTTGAACATATACGTGAGCAGCTGATGCTGCTCACGGGTTGTTTCCATTTTTCGTAATGCTGAAGGCACGGGAGCGAACCCCCCTGCCCTCAACACAAGGACGACGACAACCACGCGACCGGAGACGTCGCGACGAAATAAACAAACGGCGCCGCCAAATGAAAAATATTTAGGGCCTTGGGTAATGTGAAATTGAATCGCAATCATTTTGGGTAGTATGAAAAATGCTCTTTCCAACAGAACCCTAGTAAAAAACGTGAATGGACAAAAAATAACTATTATTTCGACATAAATATTGGCCTGTTTTTAAGTCATCCTGGTATGCCGTAAGATTTCGACCTATAAATTGGTGTTCCCCCAATCATTGAAGCTTGAGCAGTGAAAAATATGAAAGCCTAATCTGTTTTGCATCATTAGTGATTCTCCTAGGGTGTTGCCATTTCTCCCTAGGTGTTGCGAGTTGCTTTTGCAAAACGTGTTCCTGAAACGGCTCAATTTTTTGAGCCCTCAGCATTACGCCTATGGGAGCCTCTGACGTCACACGCTCAATATTTTGAGCGCTCAATAATTTGAGCTTTTCCCCCTTGTGCGTGGGACTGTTGTGGCTCAAATGCTTTCCTGGCTGACATCCCTGGGAAAAGGTAGCTTTTCAACCAGGTTTTTTTGTCATCTGCTGGCATTGTTCTTTTTCATAAGCTATTCTGTGGTCTTCTGGTACAGGAACCAGTCTGCTTCAGTTTGTTTTCCTTATCCGGTCGATTTACTGTTTGATCTACTGAAATGAGGGTAATCAGCAGCAGCCGATGCACCATGCCACTCGCTCGAAACATGATTTGGTGTTAAAACGAATGGCATCCATGAGCACCATTTTGGCTCAGTGTTTGAATATTTGGCACATAAGTGATACAAAAATATTTAGAATAAGAACATACGTGTTGGTTTCATTCACGTGCTCTATTTTTCTTTTTTTATAACATGGAACGTTTAACCCAATCATCAGTATCGTTCGACATCGGCAAAAAAAGCAAAAACGTCTTGCTTAATTCAACTCAAGATTGCCAGCTTGAAAATGATCGTATATTGTTATAATTTGGCATACCAATGCGCAAAGGAATGACGCAAACTTGATGAAAATTTTGGCTCGTTATTTGCACTCGAATTCGAGATATAAGCCTCCAAAGTTCGGAACGTTTTTTCTGGGCCACCCGGTATATCATTCGATGTGGATTGACGAGAGGATCACGATGACGCCCTTAGTTTGTTCCTATCTTGACTAATTCGAAAGTTATTCGAGAAAAACTCTCTCCATATCTAGCGCCGCCATTTTGACTTTTTTGACCCCTGTGACGTCATCTTTGACCTGACCTGAGAATGACCTGGGTAAAAATTGTAGACCTTGACCTTGTCCGTGCGTATCCGATGCTGTTTACCGCTTGTCGCTATCTTGCTTCGTTCTCGAGATCTCAGAGGGGGCCGGTCATCCGCCCCCCCCCCCCGTCGGTACTAAGTTGGCGCAGACCCCCGTCGGTGCGCGTGTTAATTTTTGGGTGGTACAATTAGCCGGCCTAACTATATCATGTTGTGAAAGTCTCTCTCCTTCTTATCCTAACCAGAAGTTATAACCCTAGGTAAATGTCCGTGCATGAACATGTGACTTAGATGACGTCTTTTTTATAGAGCCTGAGCCCAAGCCAGAAGAAGTCGTTATCAACAAACAGCCAGGTCAGCAAAAACACTGCACATTGAACAATTGAACATGACATCGCTTACCGAACAATATGTGCACAGTGCACGTGATTATGTCACCTGAATGGGGGATGAGTGTTCGTTGCGTGATAAATGTGTTTCGTTGTACATTTCCGTTTCTGATAGACGTTTTCCGACCACTTGCGGAATTCTAAACTTTTAAAATTGATGTTCTGAACTTTTTAATCAAAAGCGTAAGGTATAACTATTTACTTAATTTCATGTTTTTTTCCGCCTGATGAATGTAACTTTTTATAGATTCTGAGCCAAAAACTGAGGAAGGCACCATCGAGAAAAGGCCAGGTAAGGACATATCCCTACGTTGTTCTCTTTTTCCATTAATTTTCGATGTTCTCTGACTGATCTGGGATGTGTTCATTATTGCTGCTTTAGTTTCATTTGATTTACCGGCTTTCTAAATTACCCAGGATATTTGTTTCTGTGTCGATAATTTTACGGATGCTAGATTTTGTCCTTTTCACATAATACGAATGATGAATCGACTAAAAAAAACACACAGTCGCCATCTGCATCGATAGAAAAGGGAGCAAAATTATCAGAATATTTTGATATAATGATGAAAAAGGTCGTATATTTTTTTCAAAGTCACCGGCCATTTTATTGGAGTGGCATGGTATTCTTTTCTAAAATTATATAAGTACATGTTTGCTATGATAATTTATCTTTAGTCTTTATCCAACCGGAACGTAGTGTGTGTTCATATTCTACACATTGTTGTCCAAGAGTCTGTGATTGATGTAGTATCGTTTTCTAGATTCGGAGTCCAAACCTGAGGAGGCTATCGAGAAAACGCCAGGTTAGTATATGCTAAATTGTACAATTAAAATGTTAAATTGTACAGGTCGTGTAATTGCATGTAGGTAAAAAGGATATGTCGAGTGCTAATTTTCTCTAACGTGAGTAGCGTCGTTAAGTCTTGTTTGTTTTCTTTTTATTTTTGTTCATCGCAAAGCTGGGCGTCTCTGTGTGTTTGTGATTGGATTTATTTATCAGAAATTCATGACATGTTATTAAATTATCTTCATGGTTTCGAACTGATGTGATGTTTTTTTTTTATAGATTCTGAGCCAATAACTGAGAAAGCAACCATCGAGAGAAAGCCAGGTGAGACCATTGCTAGATCATATGTAGCTTGAACTAGGGAGAGTCGTTGAGTCTTAAATGGCTGGTGTACATTTTCCTCATCACGCAGCTGTATGTCTGCGAGTTTTTATGATAAGATTTATTTTGTCAGAAGAAAATATCTAGTCATTTAATTATTCTCATGATTTTGAACTGAAGCAATATGTTTCTTTAGATTCTGAGCCCAAACCTGGAACCATTGAGAGAGGGCCAGGTGAGACTCTGAGTGTACAGAGAATACGTATGCCATTTGTACTGAATGGTTCTATAAAGTTTCTAATGTTCATGGAACAGTAAACGTATGGGGATGTTACTATCTAACTTATCGAACGAGAAATTAAAGTGCCTGAAGTGTGCAAATTTATTTATTTCGTCGGAGTATATTTCATATGTTGGAAAAAGAATCAACATTCAATATTAAAACAAACGTATCAATATCACTAAACACGAAACTTTTTTCCCAGAATCTGAGACTGAAACTGAAGCAGTCATCATCGAGAAAAAGCCAGGTGAGATCCATTGGGCTGTTGTATTTCGGTTAAAAAATTTAAAACCTTTTTAGTAGAAGTTAATTTTTTGGTGGTACAATTAGCCTAACTATATCATGTTGTGAAAGTCTCTCTCCTTTTTATCCTAACCAGAAGTTATAACCCTAGGTAAATGTCCGTGCATGAACATGTGACTTAGATGACGTCTTTTTCTTTTTCTTTACAGAGCCTGAGCCCAAGCCAGAAGAAGTCATTATCAACAAACAGCCAGGTCAGCAAAAACATTGCACATTGAACATGACATTGCTTACCGAACAATATGTGCACAGTGCACGTGATTATGTCACCTGAATGGGGGATGAGTGTTCGTTGAGTGATAAATGTGTTTCGTTGTACATATCCGTTTCTGATAGACGTTTTCCGACCACTTTAGGAATTCTAAACTTTTAAAATTGATGTTCTGAAGTATTAAATCAAAAGCGTAAGACATAACTATTTACTTAAAGGAAATAGTTCACTTTCACGAAATTATTTTTTTGCAACGATTTATGATTTTTTATGTTCAAAATAATCAGCAAAGAAAATAAAACCTTTTTATAACAAAAGATTTTTTTCTATATTTTGATATAGGAAGAACTTTTCAGTTTCTGTAAGGCACACGCGATCCAGTATGAAAAGAGCATGGGTCCCGAAAATTCTTCAGAAACAGAGAAATTATCGCAGCCACCGGCATTTGGGCGATCTGCTCGATCTGATAATGTTCCCCTGAATGTCCTAATTGATCAGTAGGGGAGAGTGGGGTGGGTTGTATCAGTTTTTACTCCGAGACCCATAACCTCGTAACTATCCGTGATAAACTCATTATTTCCATACTATCCCCTTCCTTGATTCTTCTGCTTTTTTGTGCAAAGTAACTTTTCCGCTACCTCTACCAGTTTTTCTTCTACGGTCTCCCGAATAGAACAATGTTTTTGATACAACTTGCCCCATGGCTTAGGTGAGTTGTATCACATGGTGGGGTAATTTGTATCACTATTTAACGTTTCAGGGAGTGTGCTTGCTACTGGTTTTGAACATAACAACAACATTAAATGGGGTTAATACAATGTATAGGTATGCTCAAAGGCTTCACTTTATTAGACCAAACTTAGGTCAATGCAATCCGAACGAAACATCAACAGACTATAGACGCAAAAGTGGCCCGTTAAGAGCAAAGAAGCCAACACATTGTGCCGAAATGGAACGAGCATTGACTAGCTACCTACAAACGCGAGCCAGGGCTTAGCTTTCGCGATCAAAAGCAACATACCCATACATACATACATACATACATGTTACAACATACCCCACCCGGCTCTGATACAACATGTACCTAGCCGCCATCTTGGAAAAAACATCCTCGTGCTAAAAAAACAGCGGACAGTTGGAGAAATCCGTTTTCACTCACGCAGCCTTAGAACCTACCCTCACCACCGCTACGGAGATCTTTCAAATTCGTGCACATCTAAATGCCCAGAACACACATTTTCTTGCAACATATTTTTTTAGAATGACATTAAAAAAACATAAAATCGGCTCTCACCTCGAGACGCGTCCACTCAGCCACAAGACAGAACAGGGAAAGATGGCGCCCGGAAAACCTCGTCGGCTGGTCGTGTCGCGAGCGCCATCCATTGGATAAGTTTGGCACAATTCGCCCTGATACAACTTGGACATGATACAACTCTCCCCGCTCTCCCCTACGAGAATTTCTCTAGAGTTCTCGTAGATAATTTCTCTAGTTTCTGAAGAATTTTCGAGACCCATGCTCTTTTCATACTGGATGGAAATATATGCAAGGCACACATCCTCACCGCAAGACACCTTTTTCGGGACGAGAAATAGAATATCTTTGCCTAGGGTGATCGTTGGGCTGTAAAAGCTCCTGATTTATGCTCGTCTCAGCCCAAGCTACGGAACTGCTATTCCAGTTCAAAACCCATGTTAAAAAGTGAACTATTTCCTTTAATTTCATGTTTTTCCCGCCTGATGAATGTAACTTTTTATAGATTCTGAGCCAAAAACTGAGGAAGGCACGATCGAGAAAAGGCCAGGTAAGGACATGTCCCTACGTTGTTCTCCTTTTCCATTAATTTTCGATGTTCTCTGACTAATCTGGAATGAATTTATTATTGCTGTTTTAGTTTCAATTGATTTCCATTCTTTCTAAATTACCCAAGATACCTATTTGTTTCTGTGTCGATAACTTTACAAATGCTAGCTTTTATCCTTTTTACATGTTACGAATGATGATTCGACCACACAAAAAAACACACACATACAGTCTCCATCTGCATCGATAGAAAGCGGAACAAAATTATCAGAATATTTTGATATAATGATGGAAAAGGTCGTATTTTTTCTTCAAATGTCACCGGTCGTTTTATTGGAGTGGCATGGTATTCTTTTTTAACATTATACGAGTATAAGTATACATATGTTTGTCATCATAATTTATCTTTACCCAACCGGCACGAAGTGTGTGTTCATCTACACATTGTTGTCCAAGAGTCTGTGATATAGTATCGTTTTCTAGATTCGGAGTCCAAATCTGAGGAGGCTATCGAGAAAACGCCAGGTTAGTATATGTTAAATTGTACAATTAAAATGTTAAATTGTACAGGTCGTGTAATTGCATGTAGGTAAAAAGGATATGTCGAGTGCTAATTTTATCTAACGTGGGTAGCGTCGTTAAGTCTTGTTTGTTTTCTTTTTATTTTTGTTCATCGCAAAGCTGGGCGTCTCTGTGTTTTTTTGTGATTAGATTTATTGATCAGAAATTCATGACATGTTATTAAATTATCTTCATGGTTTCGAACTGATGTGATGTTTTTTTTATAGATTCTGAGCCCATACCTGAGAAAGGAACCATCGAGAGAAAGCCAGGTGAGACCATTGCTAGATCATATGTAGCTTGAACTAGGGAGAGTCGTTGAGTCTTAAATGGCTGGTGTACATTTTCCTCATCACGCAGCTGTATGTCTGCGAGTTTTTATGATAAGATTTATTTTGTCAGAAGAAAATATCTAGTCATTTAATTATTCTCATGATTTTGAACTGAAGCAATATGTTTCTTTAGATTCTGAGCCCAAACCTGGAACCATCGAGAGAGGGCCAGGCCTGAGACCCTGAGTGTACAGAGAATACGTGTGCCATTTGTACTGAATGGTTCTATAAAGTTTCTAATGTTCATGGAACAGTAAACATATGGGGATGTTACTATCTAACTTATCGAACGAGAAATTAAAATGCCTGAAGTTTGCAAATTTATTCATTTCGTCGGAGTAGATTTCATATGTTGGAAAAAGAATCAACATTCAATATTAAAACAAACGTATCAATATCACTAAACACGAAAACTTTTTTCCCAGAATCTGAGACTGAAACTGAAGCAGTCATCATCGAGAAAAAGCCAGGTGAGATCCATTGGGCTGTTGTATTTCGGTTAAAAATTTAAAACCTTTTAGTAGAAGTTAATTTTTTGGTGGTACAATTAGCCTAACTATATCATGTTGTGAAAGTCTCTCTCCTTTTTATCCTAACCAGAAGTTATAACCCTAGGTAAATGTCCGTGCATGAACATGTGACTTAGATGACGTCTTTTTCTTTTTCTTTACAGAGCCTGAGCCCAAGCCAGAAGAAGTCATTATCAACAAACAGCCAGGTCAGCAAAAACATTGCACATTTAACATGACATTGCTTACCGAACAATATGTACACAGTGCACGTGATTATGTCACCTGAATGGGGGATGAGTGTTCGTTGAGTGATAAATGTGTTTCGTTGTACATATCCGTTTCTGATAGACGTTTTCCGACCACTTTAGGAATTCTAAACTTTTAAAATTGATGTTCTGAACTTTTTAATCAAAAGCGTAAGACATAACTATTTACTTAATTTCATGTTTTTCCCGCCTGATGAATGCAACTTTTTATAGATTCTGAGCCAAAAACTGAGGAAGGCACCATCGAGAAAAGGCCAGGTAAGGACATGTCCCTACGTTGTTCTCCTTTTCCATTAATTTTCGATGTTCTCTGACTAATCTGGAATGAATTTATTATTGCTGTTTTAGTTTCAATTGATTTCCATTCTTTCTGAATTACCCAAGATACCTATTTGTTTCTGTGTCGATAACTTTACAAATGCTAGCGTTTGTCCTTTTTACATGTTACGAATGATGATTCGACCACAAAAAACACACACACACACAGTCTCCATCTGCATCGATAGAAAGCGGAACAAAATTATCAGAATATTTTGATATAATGATGGAAAAGGTCGTATTTTTTCTTCAAATGTCACCGGTCATTTTATTGGAGTGGCATGGTATTCTTTTCTAACATTATACGAGTATAAGTATACATATGTTTGTCATCATAATTTATCTTTACCCAACCGGCACGAAGTGTGTGTTCATCTACACATTGTTGTCCAAGAGTCTGTGATATAGTATCGTTTTCTAGATTCGGAGTCCAAACCTGAGGAGGCTATCGAGAAAACGCCAGGTTAGTATATGTTAAATTGTACAATTGAAATGTTAAATTGTACATGTCGTGTAATTGCATGTAGGTAAAAAGGATATGTCGAATGCTAATTTTCTCTAACGTGGGTAGCGTCGTTAAGTCTTGTTTGTTTTCTTTTTATTTTTGTTCATCGCAAAGCTGGGCGTCTCTGTGTTTTTGTGATTAGATTTATTGATCAGAAATTCATGACATGTTATTAAATTATCTTCATGGTTTCGAACTGATGTGATGTTTTTTTTATAGATTCTGAGCCCATACCTGAGAAAGCAACCATCGAGAGAAAGCCAGGTGAGACCATTGCTAGATCATATGTAGCTTGAACTAGGGAGAGTCGTTGAGTCTTAAATGGCTGGTGTGCATTTTCCTCATCACGCAGCTGTATGTCTGCGAGTTTTTATGAGAAGATTTATTTTGTCAGAAGAAAATATCTAGTCATTTAATTATTCTCATGATTTTGAACTGAAGCAATATGTTTCTTTAGATTCTGTGCCCAAACCTGGAACCATCGAGAGAGGGCCAGGTGAGACCCTGAGTGTACAGAGAATACGTATGCCATTTGTACTGAATGGTTCTATAAAGTTTCTAATGTTCATGGAACAGTAAACGTATGGGGATGTTACTATCTAACTTTTCGAACGAGAAATTAAAATGCCTGAAGTTTGCAAATTTATTTATTTCGTCGGAGTATATTTCATATGTTGGAAAAAGAATCAACATTCAATATTAAAACAAACGTATCAATATCACTAAACACGAAAACTTTTTTCCCAGAATCTGAGACTGAAACTGAAGCAGTCATCATCGAGAAAAAGCCAGGTGAGATCCATTGGGCAGTTGTATTTCGGTTAAAAAATTTAAAACCTTTTTAGTAGAAGTTAATTTTTTGGTTGTACAAATAGCCTAACTATATCATGTTGTGAAAGTCTCTCTCCTTTTTATCCTAACCAGAAGTTATAACCCTAGGTAAATGTCCGTGCATGAACATGTGACTTAGATGACGTCTTTTTCTTTTTCTTTACAGAGCCTGAGCCCAAGCCAGAAGAAGTCATTATCAACAAACAGCCAGGTCAGCAAAAACATTGCACATTGAACATGATATTGCTTACCGAACAATATGTGCACAGTGCACGTGATTATGTCACCTGAATGGGGGATGAGTGTTCGTTGAGTTATAAATGTGTTTCGCTGTATATACAGGTTCGTTTATGATAGACGTTTTCCGACCATTTGCGGTGTATAATGTCCTAAACTTTTCAATCAAAAGCGTAAGCTACAACTAAATTTCAAGTTTTTGTTTGCATGTTTAATATAACTTTTGTTTATAGATTCTGAGCCCAAAACTGAGGAAGTCACCATCGAGAGAAAGCCAGGTAAGGTCACGTTCCTTGTTTGTCTCCTCTTCCATTTATTGGCAAGTTTTCTGGCTGATCTGGATAGTGTTTATCATTACTGCTTTAATTTCATTTGATTTGTCTTATTTAACTTACAAAAGACATTTATATATGGACCGATAAAATTATTGATGCTAGCTTTTGTCTTTTGACCTGTCTTTTGTCACAATACGATTAATGAATCGACTAAGAAAACAGCTTCCATCTGCATCTATAGAAAGCGGAGCAAAAATTTTCCTCATCGCAAACCTGGGGGCTTCCATGTTTTTATGTGATTGAATTGATTTAATTAGTAATTCATGACTTGTTTTTAGAATATATTCATGGCTTGGAACTGATGCTATGATTTTTTTTTAGATTCTGAGCCCAAACCTGAAAAAGTAACCATCGAGAGAAAGCCAGGTGAGACCCTTCCTAGATCATATGTGGCTTGAAATAGGGACAGTCCTTGAGTCTTAAAGGGACCCTCCCACCTTAACATTAGATTTGAGTTGAGATAGCCAAAATGGGGTCCCTGGCTCAAAATTACCGGTTTCGGCACTCACAACATCGAGAAATGCCTTAAATCGGAAATATTGACTTTCAAAATTGCAGCATTTTGATTCAGAGGGGCTAATGCATAGGAATACCCCTCTGAATGTGTGACGTCAGCGCAGATATCTAACGATTTTTAAATGTTTGATTAAAACGTTTTGTAGCACGCGGTGGTATATGCTGCTTTGCGCGCAACAAGTGTCGCACTTTCAGCTGCCAAACTATTGCTTCCAAATAAAGTCGCTAGGAACAGCGGAGATCCCAAAAAGTAAACAAAAGTAAAAGTCTAATATCTTGAAAACCGGTGAATATTTTTCCGCTGAAGTTTGGTAGATATTTGTTTTCGCTCTTTCTGAACCGAGCGACATCACTTTCATGCCAATTCATAAACTTGTTTGAAGGTGGGAGGGTCCCTTTAACCCTCGCCCCAGTGGCGGTCTCAGCCAACTTCGCCCTAGTGGGGGGGGGGGGGGGCATATGTTACCACGCACCTCTAACTCAAAAACTAAGAGGGCTAGAAAGACGCGGTAAAAAGCAATTGATAGCTCTCAATGCGCACGTTTGAAAGTATTTCTGCCATTTTTCATCTTAGAGCAATATTGGGGTCACTGGAGGTCATCAAAGGTCAAAATTTGCCAAATGTCATTATATTTTTCCGAAAACATGCATTTATCTCAGGAACTATGATAGCTAGAAAAACGCATGGAAAAGCAATCGATAGCTCTTGAACTTTTCTTTCGATAAGGTCATTGTCAAAATTGACCTCAGGTCAACGGTTTAGCCTCCAGAGGGCAAAAACTAAAAAAATAGCTGTTTTTACGAAAAGTGTTTTTCGACAATAACTTTTGACTAAAAAAAAGCCACGACATTTCTATTGCCAGAATCGTGTTCCTCTCGCCGAGACGCATCGAATGAACTATAATTTGACCTTGCAAGGTCAACTTGAAAATTTGACCTCAGGTCAAGGTCATGACCTGACCGGAAAAGGTCATGTTGCATATCAGTCGATGCGTCTCGGCAAGACAAACACAATGATACCATCCCCAGCGTTCTAGCTCTTACCAATCGAGAGTTATTGGCAAAAATCTGTTTGTAGCCTCAAATGACCTCGGATGACCTTTCAAAAGGCTATCAGCAAAAACGACACCTTGGTCGTCACGGGTGGTCCAAATAATTGTGATTCTGAAATATTTGGACTATTCCTATGCGTACACTGAAAAAAGTCAGCCAAATTTTGGTCTCAGAGACCAGAAAGCGGTCTTTTTTCCCCTATTCAAATCAGACCACACTTTTTGAGCCATTCTGCGCGGTCTTTCTGAAACCCTTTTAGAGAGCTTAGAAACCGGTCTCGCGAAACCATTCAGTGGTCTCACGGAGAAAGAAAACTGGTCTCCAAAATGCTCAAAGTGTGTTCTCTTTTGAAACTCTGAGCTGGATGAAACCACGTTCTGGTTTACGATAATACCGCTGGACTGTCTCAACATCAGTCACCATTGGATTAGACCAGAAAATGGTCTCATAGAAGAACTCAAGCCATTCTCGTTACGAGCCTTCTTTCTGGACCCTCGAATGTAGCCGCGCAGCCCCGCCCTGCCGCGCGGCCATATTGCCGCCCAAATGAAAATACAACCATGTTTTCTTCTCAAAATGTATTAGTCTCGTATTAGTCGCGTCGTGCCGCGCGCTGCCGGCCCGGTCGACACAGGCCCAGGCCCTCTCAAACACAAATTTCAGTGCAGTAGCATATATGCGGAGACAATTGGCAGTCCCGTCGTGCCACGCGCTGCCGACCCGGTCACAAAAGGCCCAAGCCCTCTCAAACACAAAGCTAGTTCATGCAGTAGCAATGGGCGCGGCGAAAGCAGTCGCGTCGTGCCGCGCTGCAGTCCCCAACCAAAGAACACTCGTCACTCACCCCGGCCGCCGCTACACCGTGGTGAACGCGCGGTTGTGCGAAACGTCCTCTCCTAGAGAGCGAAATTCCTCGGCCGCCACTGTCTCTTGGTTCTTCAATTTGTAGAGGTCGGGAAGATGGGGATCTTCCTCTTCCTCAGTCGGGAAGATCGTTACCTTCTTCAGAAGCCGAAGTCACTATGACATCTGCCCTTCCAATCTTGATTTCAACGAAATCTTACTGTAGCATAAGATTAAAAGATTTCTGACCATGACTGATGAGCAAGTGTGTTGTTTTCTCTGTTATCATGCACAATATTTTATATATGGCTAAAGAATGTCTCTACTTATAACAATATAACTCCAAGCGCAGCGCACACCAACGCACACAATTTGCAATGGCGCCTGACAATGCGCTGTATGTAAACAAGTCCAGAGACTGCACTTATCTGAAACCACCACGCTGCCTCACACCGACGCAGGATATGAGATGAGACCGGCAAACATTCTCACGGTTAGTCCTAAAAAGAGTCGCACCCATGATGCTTCAAACGCTGTTCAAAACGAGACCAACTATCAGGCTTGTCAAACAGGAGACTCGGACAGCCCTAATAAATGAGGTCAAGCAAGCACCATTTCACTATATAGACCACCTCGTGGTTTCACATGAAACCCAATCCGTAACCATTCTCATTTTGTTTTTTCAGTGGGCATTTTCATTTTCTCCATTGACTTATAATGGTAAGGTCACGCCACTGACCTGACCTTAGGTCACGGATATAAAAAATCCGAGATATACAAATTGTAGGCGCCCATAACATCATGCAATCCACCAAGTTTGAAACCTTTCTTACAAACACTGCAGGCTGGACATGATCGCAAACTTTTTTAGGCTTGGTCAGTTAACTTGAACTGGTGACCTGACCTGACATGACCTGGGGTCAAAAATTTCATACCTTGTCCAAAATTGATGTACAAAAAGCTACGGCGCGGCGCTACGCGCCGCGGTTTTTTATTCACACGCGAAAAACGCGACAGGGTGGTAACATATGCCCCCCCCCCCCCACTGGGGCGAAGGTTAAATGGCTTGTGTGCATTTTCCTCATCACATAGCTGTATCTCTGCGAGTTTTAATGATAAGGTTTATTTTGTCAGAAGAAAATGCCTAGTCATTTAACAATTTTTATGATTTTGAACTGCAGCAACATGTTTCTTTTTTAGATTCTGAGCCCAAACCTGGAACCATCGCGAGAGAGCCAGGTGAGACCCTGAGTGGACAGTGAATACGCATGCCATTTGTACTGAATGGTTCAATAAAGTTTCCAACTTCCATGGAACAGTAAACTTATGGGGATATAACAAGCTAACCAATCGAATGAGAAATTAAAATATCTGAAGTTTGCAAATGTCTTGTCGGTGTATATTTCATATTCTGTTGGGAAAAGAATCAACATTCAGGATTAAAACAAACGTATCAATATCACTAAATACGAAAGCATTTTTTCTTTCCAGAACCTGAGACTGAAACCAGAACAGTCATCATCGAGAAAAAGCCAGGTGAGTTCCATTGGGTGGCTGAACTTCGTTCAAAAATTCAGAAACATTTTAGAAAAAGGTAATTTTTGGGTAGTACACTTAGCCTTTATCATGTTGTGAAAGTCTCTCTCATCGTTATCCTAACCAGAGTTTTACACCAATATATATCCGGGCATGAACAAGTGACTTGGATGACGTCTTTTTATTTTTTATAGAGCCTGAGTTCAAGCCAGAAGATGTCGTTGACAACAAACAGCCAGGTCAGTAAAAACACTGCACATTGAACATGACAATGCTTACCGAACAATATGTGCACAGTGCACGTGATTATGTCACCTGAATGGGGAATAAGTGTTCGTCGAGTAATAAATGTGTTTTGCTGCCTAATTCAGTTTTGCTGTATATACAGGTTCGTTTATGATAGACGTTTTCCGACCACTTGCGATGTATAATGTCCTAAGCTTTACAATCAAAAGCGTAAGATACAACTTAATTTCAAGTTTTCTTTTTTGCATTTTAAATATAACTTCTGTTTATAGATTCTGAGCCCAAAACTGAGGAAGTCACCATCGAGAGAAAGCCAGGTAAGGTCATGTTCCTTGTTTGTCTCCTCTTCCATTTATTGGCAAGGTTTCTGGCTGATCTGGATAGTGTTTATCATTACTGCTTTAACCCTAGAACGCCTAGGGGGGGGGGGGTTGTATCAACCCCCCCCCCTGAGGTTTTTTCGAAGTGCACGCTAAACGGCTTGTCGTAGCGGGCTGAAATTTTCAATACCCTCTGGGGCAACCTTTGCGCATCTTTTGTCGAAAAAAAATTGATCGGGTCATGTCAGGTCACGGAGTTATGACGTCATAAGAGGTACAGCCTCCGGCCGGATTTTCACAAACTGAGTGCCAACGCCCGAGGTTTCCTGCCGGTGGTACGGACATCGGTTGATGGATCGTGATGAAACTTCCCATGCATGTTGGGGCAAGTATTGGCTATCATATGGTATAAGAAATTTGACCGGGTCAGGTCAGGTCACGGAGCTATGACGTCACAAGAGGAACAGCGTCCGGTACTATTTTTGAAAAGCGCCCGAACCACTATTTTGCTAATTCTTGTCACCTCAATGGGAATATGCAGCAATATTAGCTTCTATAGGGAGCAAATGGACCTCCCAAATCCAAAAATACAATCAGATTTCAAAAATTTAAATTTTGATTTTTCGAATTTCTGCCGCCGACTGTGACCTTGCCGACTTCCGGCGCTCCCAACGCGCCATTTTTAGAGCTAGGGAAACGAAATACATACCAAACGATAGAGAATTGATCAAGGAACACGATAGTGAAGGTTTCAAGTCGATATCTTCCACCGTTTTGCCGCAATCGCCGCCGAAAGTTGAAAAAAGTCTATTTTTCCGAAAATTTGACCTTTGACCGGTCAAAAGTAGGTCAAATGTTGACCTAGGATCAAAAAATATACCACCAATCGCGAGATCTCGTTGAGAGCAATCCGTTGGTTTTTTCCGCTAAGCTCTACGACCTTCCGTTTCGAAACGCCAGGGGGGGGGTCGTAACAACCCCCCCCTGGTCGTTCGTGTTATGAGAAATGGCCTGGTCGTGCGAGGGTTAATTTCATTTTATTTGCCCACTGAACTCTATAATGTGGAAGGCGCATCAGCCGCCAGATGGTGTCCAACGGTGCCGCCATGTTGCGCAGACCAGGAAGCGGCCGCCGCCTGTGTTGGGGAATAGGGAATTCGGGACCTCGATTTACGCTTGCGGCCGCTGCATCCGTTACGTTCAAGCTATGTAGACACGGGACCCGGCATCCTACGCAGAATCGAGTGGAGAACAAGATGACATCTTTAAAAATCCTCAAATACAAGGAACTTATACGTTAAACCCTTATAAGTCAATGGGGAAATAAGGAAATTGCTATTTTCGCGCCGGGAATGATCTGAAACTATCCCAAGCATATAGAATCGTGATTTCATTCACTCCTTGCAAGGTCCAATGCTTTACATTTGCATTGTTGCCCTTGCGTGACGTCATCTGTGACGGCACAAGGGTCCAGGGCTGGTAAAAAAGCAAATTGCGTCCCCGACCAAAAAATGAGAGCGAAAAATGACCCCGACCTTTTTACGATTCATGTATGCAGGCTGCATGCAACTACGATGCGCGTTTCCTTAGGTTTCATTTCTATATATTATTTTTTTACGAGCAGTCATATGTACTAAATTGCTTATCAGACTCGCGCTTCGAAATTTCCAGTTTGTTAATTAAATGTCACGGCATCACTCGGTCAGCGGGTAGCGTAACAGACGAAGAACCCGGAAAGGGTAGGGGGCGCTACGATCGTCGAACAGATGCAATAGGTGTCGCTATTGTATCGGTAGCTCACAACGACGACGGCTAGAAACTATCGACCCCGCATGAATCCAACCGGTCTGACCCCGGTTCCGAATCTAGTCGTTTGTCTAGTCGTATAGCTGGCTACAACTGGTCGTCAATCAACCCCGCTTGAAATAGCACAGCCGACAGCGGGGTCGGTGTCTAAGCGTCTGTTAGTATGTGTTTGATCATCTAGTTTGATCTAGTTTTCGTTAGCAACTGTCGACGGTAGTTTTGCTGTTGACGGAAGTGAGTTGTGGCTACAAATTGTTCATAACCATGTTGTAGGTATGTATTAGGTATAGGGGCTTTTTATGTCCTTGTTAAAGGGGATATACGTTGTGGATTCAATGATATCTTTTACTTGCGTTTAGTTTCTGCTTTATTTGAAAGTTATTTATTACTGTAAAAGTTTATTAAATGTGGTAATTTTGACCCCAGGTACTTGAACTTTTACTGGTACTGTGTCCCCGACGACGTCAATAGGACATAACACTTTACCAGCCCTGCAAGGGTCATAAACTTTTCTTCAATAACTCCCGATCAAATTGAGCTAGCGAATCGGGAAAGCCACAAATGGACTGTGAAAGACCTGCCGAATCGAATGATATGCAACATGACCTTAATCAACCAGCTTCGTGACCTGAGAGCTCTGACCTGACCTTGTCACGAGGTCAATGCCGTAAATTGACCTCACCCAAACGAAAAGTATATCACTCGATGCGCCTGAGCTAGGTGAACACGATGATGTCAAAATCGCGGCTCTACGACCATTTTTGGCGAAGTTATTTACCAAAAACCGAGCCCGTGCCTTAGGTCACTTGATCTGACCTCAGAGGTCACCGGTTGACCTGAGACCTTTAAAGCGGATTGCTGCCAGTCACTCTGCATTGTACTCTGTCTCATACGACCACTTTACCGCTAAATTCTAGTTGAATTAGCGGCACATTAGCGAGGTGGGTTCAATAACCCTCTCGCCCGGGTCAAATGTAGAAAGACGATGATCCGGCGAGTGAATTTGAGGAATTCTGAAGATTCGATCGTATTCCCCACTCAATTCTGCGTAAGGTGCCGGGTTCCGTATCTACGTAACTTGAACGTACCGGATGCGGCGGCCGCAAACGTAAATCGAGGTCCCGAATTCCCTATTCCTCAACACAGGCGGCGGCCGGTTCCTGGTCTGCGCAATATGGCCGCCACCAGGGCTGCGGAGTCGATGGATTTTCGGCGACTCCGACTCCGACTCCGACTCCGGCTTTCAAAAACCAGCTCCGACTCCGACTCCGACTCCGGGCAGAATTGTCGACTCCGACCGACTCCAACTCCCGACTCCGACTCCGCAGACCTAGCAGGGCTGCGGAGTCGACAGATTTTCGGTGACTCCGACTCCGACTCCGGCTCGGGTTTCTAAAATCGACTCCGACTCCGACTCCGACTCCGGTCACAACTGTCGACTCCGACCGACTCCCACTCCGACTCCGACTCCGACTCCGCAGCCCTGGCCGCCACCGTTAGACACTACGGCCAATAGGGTTGAAGCGGCAGTGCTCCACTGTGAATTTGCCTCATTTAACTTACAAAAGACATTTATATATGGACCGATAAAATTATTGATGCTAGCTTTTGTCTGTTGACCTGTCTTTTGTCACAATACGATTAATGAATCGACTAAGAAAACAGCTTCCATCTGCATCGATAGAAAGCGGAACAAAATCAACATATAACATTTTAATATAATGATGGAAAGGGTGATGATGGTAGGATGATGATGGGAAAGGTCGTATAGTTTTCACATATAACCCGCCATTTTATTTGAGTGGCATGATTTTCTTTTCAAACATTCTATAAGTATATGTTTGTCATCATAATTTATCTTTACCCAACCGGCCCGTAGAAGTGTCCATCAACACACCTGTGTCCACGAGTCTGTGATTGATATATCGTTTTATAGATTTGGAGCCCAAACCTGAGGAGGCTATCGAGAAAACGCCGGGTTAGTATATACATGTTAAGTTGTACATGATATTGTAATTGCATGTAGTTAAAAAGGAGATGTCGGATGCTGATTTTCTCTAACGTGGGTGGAGTTGTTAAGTCTTTTTTTTCATTTTCCTCATCGCACAGCTGGGGGCTTCCATGTTTTTGTGTGATTGGATGGATTTAATTAGTAATTTAAGACTTGTTTTTAGAATTTATTCATGGCTTAGAACTGATGCTATGATTTTTTTAGATTCTGAGCCCAAACCTGAAAAAGTAACCATCGAGAGAAAGCCAGGTGAGACCAGTGCTAGATCATATGTAGCTTGAAATAGGGACAGTCCTTGGGTCTTAAATGGCTTGTGTGCATTTTCCTCATCACATAGCTATATGTCTGCGAGTTTTAATGATAAGGTTTATTTTGTCAGAAGAAAATGCCTAGTCATTTAACAATTTTTATGATTTTGAACTGCAGCAACATGTTTCTTTTTTAGATTCTGAGCCCAAACCTGGAACCATCGCGAGAGAGCCTGGTGAGACCCTGAGTGGACAGTGAATACGCATGCCATTTGTACTGAATGGTTCAATAAAGTTTCCAACTTCCATGGAACAGTAAACTTATGGGGATGTAACAAGCTAACCAATCGAATGAGAAATTAAAATATCTGAAGTTTGCAAATGCCTTGTCGGTGTATATTTCATATTCTGTTGGAAAAAGAATCAACATTCAGGATTAAAACAAACGTATCAATATCACTAAATACGAAAGCATTTTTTCTTTCCAGAACCTGAGACTGAATCCAGAACAGTCATCATCGAGAAAAAGCCAGGTCAGTTCCATTGGGTGGTTGTATTTCGTTTAAAAATGCAGAAACATTTTAGAAAAAGCTAATTTTTGGGTAGCACACTTAGCCTTTATCATATTGTGAAAGTCTCTCTCATTGTTATCCTAACCAGAAGTTTACACCAATACATATCCGTGCATGAACATGTGACATGGATGACGTCTTTTTATTTTTTATAGAGCCTGAGCCCAAGCCAGAAGATGTCGTTGACAACAAACAGCCAGGTCAGTAAAAACACTGCACATTGAACATGACAATGCTTACCGAACAATATGTGCTCCGTGCACGTGATTATGTCACCTGAATGGGGAATAAGTGTTCGTCGAGCGATAAATGTGTTTCGCTGTATATACAGGTTCATTTATGATAGACGTTTTCCGACCACTTGCGATGTATAATGTACTAAAATTTTCAATCAAAAGCGTAAGATACAACTTAATTTCAAGTTTTTTTGCATGTTTAATATAACTTTTGTTTATAGATTCTGAGCCCAAAACTGAAGAAGTCACCATCGAGAGAAAGCCAGGTAAGGTCATGTTCCTTGTTTGTCTCCTCTTCGATTTATTGGCAAGGTTTCTGGCTGATCTGGATAGTGTTTATCATTACTGCTTTAATTTCATTTAATTTGTCTTATCTAACTTACAAAAGACATTTATATATGGACCAATAAAATTATTGATGCTAGCTTTTGTCCTTTGACCCTTAACACAATACGATTAATGAATCGACTAAGAAAACAGCTTCCATCTGCATCGATAGAAAGCGGAACAAAATCAACATATAACATTTTAATATCATGATGGAAAGGGTGATAATGGTACCTAGGATGATGATGGGAAAGGTCGTATAGTTTTCACATAACCCGCCATTTTATTGGAGTGTCATGATTTTCTTTTCAAACATTCTAAGTATATGTTTGTCATCATAATTTATCTTTACCCAAACGGCCCGTAGAACTGTCCATCAACGCACTTGTGTCCACGAGTCTGTGATTGATGTCGTATCGTTTTATAGATTCGGAGCCCAAACCTCAGGAGGCTATCGAGAAAACGCCGGGTTAGTACATACATGTTAAGTTCTACATGATATTGTAATTGCATGTAGTTAAAAAGGATATGTCGGATGCTGATTTTCTCTAACGTGGGTAGAGTTGCTAAGTCTTATTTTTTTTCATTTTCCTCATCGCACAGCTGGGGGCTTCCATGTTTTTGTGTGATTTGATTGATTTAATTAGTAAATCATGACTTGTTTTTAGAATTTATTCATGGCTTGGAACTGATGCTATGATTTTTTTAGATTCTGAGTCCGAACCTGAAAAAGTAACCATCGAGAGAAAGCCAGGTGAGACCCTTCCCAGATCATATGTGGCTTGAAATAGGGACAGTCCTTGAGTCTTAAATGGCTGGTGTGCATTTTCCTCATCACATAGCTGTATGTCTGTGAGTTTTAATGATAAGGTTTATTTTGTCAGAAAAATGCCTAGTCATTTGACAATTTTCATGATTTTGAACTGCAGCAACATGTTTCTTTTTTAGATTCTGAGCCCAAACCTGGAACCATCGCGAGAGAGCCTGGTGTGACCCTGAGTGTACAGTGAATACACATGCCATTTGTACTGAATGGTTCAATAAAGTTTCCAACTTTCATGGAACAGTAAACTTATGGGATGTAACAAGCTAACCAATCGAATGAGAAATTAAAATACCTGAAGTTTGCAAATGTCTTGTCGGTGTATATTTCATATTCTGTTGGGAAAAGAATCAACATTCAGGATTAAAACAAACGTATCAATATCACTAAATACGAAAACATTTTTTCTTTCCAGAACCTGAGACTGAAACCAAAACAGTCATCATCGAGAAAAAGCCAGGTGAGTTCCATTGGGTGGTTGTATTTCGTTTAAAAATTAAAAAACTTTTTAGGAAAAGCTAATTTTTGGGTAGTACACTTAGCCTTTATCATGTTGTGAAAGTCTCTCTCATTGTTAACCTAACCAGAAGTTTACACCAATACATATCCGTGCATGAACATGTGACTTGGATGACGTCTTTTTATTTTTTATAGAGCCTGAGCCCAAGCCAAGAGATGTCGTTCACAATAAACAGCCAGGTCAATAAAAACACTGCACATTGAACATGACAATGGCTTACCAAACAATATGTACACAGTGCACGTGATTATGTCTCCTGAATGGGAAATAAGTGTTCGTCGAGTGATAAATGTGTTTCGCTGTATATACAGGTTCGTTCATGATAGACGTTTTCCGACCACTTGCGATGTATAAATGTCCTAAACTTTTCAATGAAAAGCGTAAGATACAACTTAATTTCAAGTTTTTTTTTTCATGTTTAACATAACTTTTGTTTATAGATTCTGAGCCCAAAACTGAGGAAGTCACCATCGAGAGAAAGCCAGGTAAGGTCATGTTCCTTGTTTGTCTCCTCTTCCATTTACTGGCAAGGTTTCTGGCTGATCTTGATAGTGTGTATCATTACTGCTTTAATTTCATTTGATTTGTCTTATTTAACTTACAAAAGACATTTATATATGGACCAATAAAATTATTGATGCTAGCTTTTTTCTTTTGACCCTTAACACCATACAATTAATGAATCGACTAAGAAAACAGCTTCCATCTGCATCGATAGAAAGCGGAACAAAATCAACATATAACATTCTAATATCTTGATGGAAAGGGTGATTATGGTACCTAGGATGATGATGGGAAAGGTCGTATAGTTTTCACCTATGACCCGCCATTTTATTGGAGTGTCATTATTTTTTTTTCAAACATTCTATAAGGATATGTTTGTCATCATAATTTATCTTTACCCATCCGGCCCGTAGAAGTGTCCATCAACACACTTGTGTCCACGAGTCTGTGATTGATGTCGTATCGTTTTATAGATTCGGAGCCCAAACCGGAGGAGGCTATCGAGAAAACGCCGGGTTAGTACATACATGTTAAGTTGTACGTGATATTGTAATTGCATGTAGTAAAAAAGGATATGTCAAATGCTGATTTTCTCTAACGTGGGTAGAGTTGTTAAGTCTTTTTTTTTTCATTTTCCTCATCGCACACCTGGGGGCTTCCATGTTTTTTTATGTGATTGAATTGATTTAATTAGTAATTCATGACTTGTTTTTAGAATATACTCATGGCTTGGAACTGATGCTATGATTTTTTTTAGATTCTGAGCCCAAACCTGAGAAAGTAACCATCGAGAGAAAGCCAGGTGAGACCCCTCCTAGATCATATGTGGCTTGAACTAAGGACAGTCGTTGATTCTTACATGGCTTGTGTGCATTTTCCTCATCACATAGCTGTATGTTTGCGAGTTTTAATGATAAGTTTTATTTTGTCAGAAGAAAATGCCTAATCATTAACTATTTTCATGATTTTGAACGCAGCAACATGTTTCTTTTTTAGATTCTGAGCCCAAACCTGGAACCATCGCGAGAGAGCCAGGTGAGACCCTGAGTGTGCAGTGAATACGCATGCCATTTGTACTGAATGGTTCAATAAATTTTCCAACTTTCATGGAACAGTAAACTTATGGGGATGTTACAAACTAACCAATCGAATGAGAAATTAAAATACCTGAAGGTTGCAAATGTCTTGTCGGTGTATATTTCATATTCTGTTGGAAAAAGAATCAACATTCAGGATTAAAACAAACGTATCAATATCACTAAATACGAAAGCATTTTTTCTTTCCAGAACCTGAGACTGAAACCAAAACAGTCATCATCGAGAAAAAGCCAGGTGAGTTCCATTGGGTGGTTATATTTCGTTTAAAAATTCAAAAACGTTTAAGAAAAAGCTAATTTTTGGGTAGTACACTTAGCCTTTATCATGTTGTGAAAGTCTCTCTCATTGTTATCCTAACCAGAACTTTACACCAATACATATCCGTGCATGAACATGTGACTTGAATGACGTCTTTTTATTTTTTATAGAGCCTGAGCCCAAGCCAGAAGATGTCGTTATCAACAAACAGCCAGGTCAGTAAAAACGTGGTAAAAACACTGCACATTGAACATGACAATGCTTACCGAACAATATGTGCACCGTGCACGTGATTATGTCACCTGAATGGGGAATAAGTGTTCGTCGAGCGATAAATGTGTTTCGCTGTATATACAGGTTCATTTATGATAGACGTTTTCCGGCCACTTGCGATGTATAATGTCCTAAACTTTCAATCAAAAGCGTAAGATACAACTTAATTTCAGTTTTTTTTTGCATGTTTAATATAACTTTTGTTTATAGATTCTGAGCCCAAAACTGAAGAAGTCACCATCGAGAGAAAGCCAGGTAAAATCATGTTCCTTGTTTGTCTCCTCTTCCATTTATTGGCAAGGTTTCTGGCTGATCTGGATAGTGTTTATCATTACTGCTTTAATTTCATTTGATTTGTCTTATCTAACTTACAAAAGACATTTATATATGGACCAATAAAATTATTGATGCTAGCTTTTGTCCTTTGACCCTTAACACAATACGATTAATGAATCGACTAAGAAAACAGCTTCCATCTGCATCGATAGAAAGCGGAACAAAATCAACATATAACATTTCAATATCATGATGGAAAGGGTTATGATGGTAGGATGATGATGGGAAAGGTCGTATAGTTTTCACATATGACCCGCCATTTTATTGGAGTGTCATGATTTTCTTTTCAAACATTCTATAAGGATATGTTTGTCATCATAATTTATCTTTACCCATCCGGCCCGTAGAAGTGTCCATCAACACACTTGTGTCCACGAGTCTGTGATTGATGTCGTATCGTTTTATAGATTCGGAGCCCAAACCGGAGGAGGCTATCGAGAAAACGCCGGGTTAGTACATACATGTTAAGTTGTACATGATATTGTAATTGCATGTAGTTAAAACGGATATGTCGGATGCTGATTTTCTCTAACGTGGGTAGAGTTGCTAAGGCTGATTTTTTTAATTTTCCTCATCGCACAGCTGGGGGCTTCCAAGTTTTTGTGTGATTGGATTGATTTAATTAGTAAATCATGACTTGTTTTTAGAATATATGGCTTGGAACTGATGCTATGATTTTTTTTTTAGATTCTGAGCCCAAACCTGAGAAAGTAACCATCGAGAGAAAGCCAGGTGAGACCCTTCCTAGATCATATGTGGCTTGAAATAGGGACAGTCCTTGAGTCTTAAATGGCTTGTGTGCATTTTTCTCATCACACAGCTGTATGTCTGCGAGTTTTAATGATAAGTTTTATTTTGTCAGAAGAAAATGCCTAGTCATTAACTATTTTCATGATTTTGAACGCAGCAACATGTTTCTTTTTTAGATTCTGAGCCCAAACCTGGAACCATCGCGAGAGAGCCAGGTGAGACCCTGAGTGTGCAGTGAATACGCATGCCATTTGTACTGAATGGTTCAATAAAGTTTCCAACTTTCATGGAACAGTAAACTTATGGGGATGTGACAACTAACAAGCTAACCAATCGAATGAGAAATTAAAATACCTGAAGTTTGCAAATGTCTTGTCGGTATATGTTTCATATTCTGTTGGAAAAAGAATCAACATTCAGGATTAAAACAAACGTATCAATATCACTAAATACGAAAGCATTTTTCTTTCCCGAACCTGAGACTGAAACCAGAACAGTCATCATCGAGAAAAAGCCAGGTGAGTTCCATTGGGTGGTTGTATTTCGTTTACAAATTCAAAAACTTTTTGGAAAAAGCTAATTTTTGGGTAGTTTACTTAGCCTTTGTCATGCTGTGAAAGTCTCTCTCATTGTTATCCTAACGAGAAGTTTACACCAATACATATCCGCGTGCATAAATATGTGACTTGGATGACGTCTTTTTATTTTTTTATAGAGCCTGAGCCCAAGCCAGAAGAAGTCGTTATCAACAAACAGCCAGGTTAGTAAAAAGACTGCACATTGCGCAGGGGCGGAGCTTCCTATTCAGTTGGTGGGGCGGCTGCCCCACGAACTTGCCATTTTCCCCCCACCAATGAGCGCTTTGCCCCACCAACTTTAGCTAATGTGTAGGAGATTATCGCTTTGCAAATCAAACTTTTTTCGCACTCAGGAGCTTTGGAATGTCTGTTAATGCAAAATTTTATACCGTAGTGATAGGAATTGACGCATTTTGGCACTTCATGCAAGTTGGCAATCGGGCATTGTAGGTTTTAACGACTTTTTGGCCCACTAACGTCCCTAGAAAAGCTCCACCACAGATAACAGTAGTACAGCAGTACTACTGTTATCTGTGGCTCCACCCATGACATTGAGCATGAAAATGCTTACGGTACAATATGTGCACAGTTCCCGTTATTTCGTCACTGGGGACATTGTTTGCTGAGTGAAATGTGTTTTATCCCGCACTGTAGACGGTTTTTACAATTGCTTCACGTGCAAAGAGAGAAAATTATCAGATGTCGTTTAACTGACTTGTTTAACGTCTAGACGTTTAACCCGGCCGGGCCCGGGGGGTAATCCCAACCACCGCAGCCCGGGGGGGGGGCGTTTTTCGCCCCCCCTGTCTAACTCCGTAAATAAGGGAGCTACGGAAACAAAAGCGATACCAAACGAAAGGTCCTTACGAGACGATTCTAATGCACCTAAAAATTTTGACCTCAAGTCAATTTTCAAGGTCAGAGGTCAAGGTCAAAGGCCAAAACCGGCACATGTGTAGTGATCTCAAAGTAAGCCTTCTAGAGAACGGCAGGCTGCATCAAACCGGCAAAATTGGGTGTCAAACGAAAGAAGAGAATCTGAGGATTCTGAAAATGTGCTCCAAATCAAAGATGAAGGTCAAGGTCACGCTCAAAATTGACCTCAAACTTGGCACTTTTTCGCACATCTTGCGTGCTAACTTCCAAGATGTTTTGAAATGTTTTGAGGCTTATCAGTTCCCTATTTGTGGTTCATCTTACGATACAAGGCTGCTCGAAGGTCAAGGCCACAGAAGAGTATCCCTGTTAGAGGCTATTTCACTGATTCAAGTTAGTAATAATAAATAAGACAATTTTGCCATCCGGAAGCTCTAAATGAAGGCTTAGAGGAAAATAGATGCCAGATTCGTGATCAGCGGGTACAAATCCATCATTAACGATCTTTCATGTGTCAAGGTCAACCAGAGGTCATTCGAGGTCACATGAGGTCAACATGAAACTTGACCTTTTCCGAACAAAATATATATCATTCGACGCGGCTTGACAAGGCGAATGCGATGGTACCACTGCCGTAGCTCTAGGACCATTTTTGTCGAAGTTATTTGCGAAAAACTAAAACCACATTTCGGGGTCGTTGACCTGACCTCTGACCTCAGGTCACCAAAACTATTTTTCTATGTTTCTCTAGGTCAAACGCTACACAGCCGTGCCTGTAATTTGTCATTATCTCTAAAACTCTATTTTTAGCAGCTATTTGAAGTTTGCGTCTGTGACGCCGATTTTTGCCGTGCAGGGGTCTAGAAAAATGGACCTTGTGACGTCATCAAGGGGGCTAGGTCCAAATTTTTTACTTCAGAAGATGTCAAATTGATGGGAGAAAAGGTACTGAAAGTTTCGCCTTCCTATCCCTAAGCGTTCGGGAGTTATCGCAAATATTCGCCAGGGGGGGGGGCGAAAAACGCCCCCCCCGGGCCCGCGAGGGTTAACAAACTGTTAAACGTCTAGTAGACATTTCTTCTAGTCTGAAATATTTCGTATTTTTACATACAATGTATTTTTTACCTTTAAGCGCCCGAACGATGTCGGCGGTACGGGAAAAATCATTAAACCGCTCGTAGGTAGAAAAATATTTTAAACTTCTCGCCTGTCGGCTCGACGTTTAAAAGATTTGTTTTACCTACTCGCGGTTTGATATATCTTGCTGTACAGGTTCGTTCATAATAGACGTTTTCCGACCACTGCGGTGTATTATGTCCGAAACTTTTCAATCAAAAGCGTAAGATCTAACTAAATGTCATATTTTTCGCATGATGAATTTAACTTTTGTTATAGATTCTGAGCCAAAAACTGAGGAAGTCACCATCGAGAGAAAGCCAGGTAAGGACATGTCCCTTGCTTGTGCTCTTTTCCATTTATTTGCAAGGTTCCTGGCTGATCTGGATTGTGTTTATCATTACTGCTTTAATTTCATTTGATTCAACTGTGCATAATTGGGTAAGGAGTTATTTAGGTCAAACTGAGGTCATGTTCGAGCAAAAACGAACAAAAAAACAGGACATCTTAAAACGCTTTCTAGATCTACAATTAACAAGCAATTTTAACGTTCTTTATATGGTCGTGCAGACAAAAAATGGCACTACAAAACTGCTATCTCGGATTTTCAAAGTTTTGCGATTTTGACCCCCAAAAATAAAAAATGATTTAAAACAAAAAATACTCAAAACATTTTCGAATTTAGAAAAACGGATTACATATGATAGTCCCTGTGCTCTTCTATCTACATACCGAATTTCAGATTGATACCTCCTTTTTTGGCCAAGTTATAGCGAAAAAACTGTTCAAAATTGATGACGTCAAATTTTTGAACTCCATTTTTAGCAATTCTAGACCACGTAGCGCAAAACAAAGACCACTATTAGACTCCCCGTGACGAGTTGCATCGAATCCATACCCATTTTATGCAAAAATATCAAGTTTAAATTTTGACCTTATTTGAACTGACCTTGACCTGACCTTCAGCAGAACATAACCTTAACTGGCTCCAAAGGCTGCCTGACTCACATAATCGCATTCGTAATGTAAAATGGACCATAAAACATGCATCACATGATATTTTAATATTTTGACCCTCAGTGACCAGTCACCAGACCTCTGTGACCTGACCTGGTATCAGTGACCTCAAATAGCAAAAGATGTGTTTTATGGACAATTCCCTATCGATGATTTTCAGTGACAAGCATTTTACTCGATTTTACAACGCATTTCTTGAAATACCTTTAAACGATGAAAATTCGACCTTTGACCTGACCTGTGACGTCATCGGTTGGACCGAGGTCAATGAAATTGGGTCACAAGGTAGCTCCCGTTGGGTCTATCCAAAGCCCTTTGCCGTTTGTCGCTATGTTGCGTGGTTTTCGAGATCTGGGGGGGGGGGGCAAAATGCCCCCCCCCATCAGACCGCGTTGCTCGGCAGACCCCATCAGGGCGCGGGTTAATATTATGATGGAACGGGTGATGATGGTGGAATGATGTTGGGAAAGGTCGTATATCTTTCACATATGACCGGCCACTTTATTGGAGTGTCATGATTTTCTTTCTAACATTTTATAAGTATATCTTTGTCATCATAATTTATCTTCACCCAACCGGCACGTAGAAGTGTTCATCTACACATTGTTGTCCACGAGTCTGTGATTGATTTAGCATGGTTTTTATAGATTCGGAGCCTAAATCTGAGGAGGCTTTTGAGAAAATGCCAGGTTAGTACATGTTAAATTCTACATGACTTTGTCATTGCATGTAGTTAAAAAGGATATGTCGAATGCTAGTTTTCTCTAACCTGGGTAGAGTCGTTAAGTCCTAAAAAGGTTTTTTGTTTTTTTCATTTTCCTCATAGCACAGCTGAGTGTTTCCGTGTATTTGTGATTAGATTTATTTTATCAATTCATGACTCGTTATTAAATTATTTTCACGATTTTGAACTGATGCGATATTTTTTTCCTAGATTCTGAGCCCGAACCTGAGAGAGCAACCATCGAGAGAAAGCCTGGTGAGACCCTGTAGAAGTGAACACTTACTTTTCCAATGTACTGAATGTTTGGATAATATGTCTAACGTTCGTTGAACTGTAAATATATGGGAATAGTTGCAGGCTAGCACAAATAATGTGGAATACATGACTGCGATTTTGTCAATATTTCGTAATGTATTTCAAACTTAACTTAAAAAAGAGTCAATGCCAAAAATCAAAAGGTGCTTATAATTTCTCCCCTAATATGAGTTATTTTTCTTTTTCAGATTCGCAGACTGAAACCGAAACAGACGTTATCGAGAAAAAGCCAGGTGAACTTCAATGAGCTGCCCTACTTCGTTAACATTTAAAAATGTCTTTAAGTTATACACTTTTGATTTGGTGGCACAATTATCAGTTGTTATGTTGTGGGTGTTAACCTCATTATCATCCAAATCACAACTTTTAAGTTTGAATCCTACCAATGTCCGTGCATAAGTTTGTGATTCAGATGACGTATTTTTATGTCTTTTTATAGAATCTGAGCCCAAGCCCGAAGAAGTTGTTATCATCAAACAGCCAGGTTAGCAAAAACACTGCACATTGAGCGTGACATTTTATACCGTAAAACACAGACACAAGTCACATGATAATGCTACCTGCATAAGGAAGATGTTCGTTGAATATCGAATAAATGCATTTCGTATATGATTAACCCTTGCCGGCACAGGTGGGGTTGATGCACCCCCCCCCCTAAGGTTTTTCGCGAATAACTCGCCAAAAAGCGGCCGATCGCGACGAAACTTTCAGTATCCTCGCATTGATCAATTTTACACCTACCCTGAAAATTTCATGACCCCGGGCCCGACCCAAATGACCTTTGACCTGTGACCTCTTTTCCGAGACCATGTTTGGCCGGAATCGCGATTCGGCGTATGTCGGCTCGCATTAGCCGAGCGTTTGCAAGCTTTTCGTGGTTTCAAACATTCAAACATGTGATTTGATGTTGCTCCCATACATTAGGGTGTGTGTCAAGGTCACCTGAAGGTCAGGTCAGGTCATTGACCTTTGGTGACCTCGGGTGACCTCGGTTCACTTTTTTAGTTTTACATGTTACTAGGCTAGTTTTTTTTAGCTGAATTCGAATTTAGCAACCATTTGAACGTTTACGAAGTAGTTTTGGTGCCTTCGTAACATGTTACGAAGCTGTCAGAGGCGGTTGACACGTATTACGAATACCCGTCACAACCCCTACCGGTTGACCTGACCTGACCTGACCCGACCTGGTCTAAATTCTTAAAGGCTCTGATCTCTTGCGTCTCTGATCAAAACTTACACGATATTCGTGATCAGCACCCCGGAAAACCACATAGCAGCCACACTTTACGACTTTCTAACAGGTCCCGATTTTCCCGGTTTTCGGGTCATTGACCTGACCTGGAAGGTCGCCCGATGACCTAGGACCTTAAAATTGGGTATCATCGGCTTCCTCTTGTGACGGGCAACGCGCTCGTTTTTTCCGCGAAGCTCTAGCTCGATCAGAAGCCAAACGCGAGGGGGGTCGTACCACCCACCCCCCTTGTGCCGTCGAAGGACGCAAAATGGCCTGTGCCGGCGAGGGTTAACACTTTCAGATCCCTTGCATTGCACTAACTTCTAAAGTTTTCCATTAGGGAGGTGAGATGTTACTATGTGTTAAATTTAATGGATTTTCATCTGATAAATATAACTTGTTTTTACAGATTCTGAGCCCAAAACTGAGGACGCCGCCATCGAGAGAAAGCCGGGTAAGGACATGTCTCTTGGTTGTTGTCTTTTAGCTTCAGGAGGCTATCAAGAAAAAGCCAGTTAAGCACATGTGAGATGCACATTACATTATAATTGCATGGAGTAGAGTAAGATATGTCCAATGAGCATGTGAGCATGTGGTCTGAACTAGGGAGAATCGTATGGTCTAAAAAACCCTTTGTGCATTTTTCTATTATACCTGCAGTTGATTGTCTGCGTGTGTTTATGATAAGATTTATTACATCAGAAGTTAATGCCTAGTTTTTTTATGTTTTTCATGGTTTTGAACTCATAGAATATGTTTTTTTTTTTAGATTCTGAGCCCGAACCTGAGAAAGTAACCATCAAGAAAAAGCCAGGTGAGACCCTGTACACTGTTCAAGTGTTATACATTCTTGCCAATTGTGTGAATGTTAGAATAAAATGCCTAACGTTCATGAAGCGGTAAAGCTTTGGGGATAATTACAGGCTGATCAAAATCATGAGAACTTCAAAAGCCTGAAATTTTCAAGAACTTTTATTTCCTTGATGTATTTTAAACTTATCTTAACAAAGAAGCAATGCTGAAAAATACAAGAAACCTATCAATATCACCTTTAATATGACTAAATTGCCTTTTTCCTAGAGTCTGAGACTAAAACCAAAACAGCCATCGTGGAGAAAAAGCCAGGTAAGTTCCAATGCGTTACCGTATTTCGTTGAAGTTTGCAGCACCTTTCAAGTGATTTTTTTTTTGTGGCACAATTATCCTTTCTCATGTTATGGATGTTTCTCTCATTAGCAACCAAATCAGAACTCATAACCCTACCAGTGTCCGTGCATGAACATGTGATTGATATGGCATATTTTCATCTTTTTATAGAATCTGAGCCCAAACCAGAAGTCGCTATCAACAAACAGCCAGGTTAGTAAAACAAGAAAAAAACGCTGCACATTGAACATGACAATGTTTTCCGTACAATATGTGCACAATGAACGTGATTATGTCACCTGAATAGGGAAGGTCTCTGTTGAGTGTTTATGCGTTTCTTCTATGATTATAATCATGTGCACAATAACATTTACGATTATGACATTTGTCAATCCCTTTCAGTGCATTTTGTTCTTAACTTTCTAATCAGAAGTGTGAGATGCAGCTATCTAATTTACTGGATTTTCGCCTGATAAAGTTAACTTTTTTACAGATTCTGAACCAAAAACTGAGAAAGTCACCATCGAGAGGAAACCAGGTAAGGACATGTCTTTGGTTGTCTTCTTTTCCATTTATTTGCTAGCTTCTCCGACTGATCTAGTTACTTTGTGTTTTATATTGCTGCTTACCATAAATGCAGCAAGAAACTGAATAAAACAGTATATAATCAGTTTCATTTGATTTATCACTATTTGGTAATACACCACTCATGACTATATCGATAATATTTTAGTGGTTAGTGTATTCGTCGGCGTCCTTTCTTCATAATACATACATAAATGGCAATGATCAACCGGCTATTGATAAAGCAGTCTCAAGCTGCATCGATAGAAAGCCAAGATATTTCACCATAACTCTTTGTATTGATGTAACACTTTGTGAATCACCATTCTTTGATGAGATAATGAAAAAGATGGTACATTTCTATCATACTCGTATGATCTGCCATTTTATTGGAGGCACATGATTATCTTTTATAACATTACGTAAGTACATGCTTTTCATCATTATTTAGAATTTAAATGATCATTCTCCAGCAGCACGTAGAAGTCTATCTCTATATCTTCATACATAAGTACATAATAAGTCTTTCTAACCTATACATGGGTACTGTCCACGAGCCTGTGATTGATGTCGCATCGTTTTATAGATTCGGAGCCCAAGCCTAAGGAGGTGGCAATCGAGAAAACGCCAGGTTAGTACAACGTGCATGACGTTGCATTGTATATAGTGGAGTATAGGATATGCCCAAATGACCATTTCCCCTAACATAGGGAGAGTCGATGAGACTTCACCCTCGCCCGCACATGGGGGGGCTGCCACCCCCAGGTAGCTTTTCTGTTCTGCACTGAACATTTGTAAAGTTAGAAGCCTGATTTTTCGTATAGCTGCTCCTCTATCCTTTCTCAGCGTCCACTAAAAATTTCAAGTTTCTGTAGTTTCTGGTTTCGGAGATATTATGGCCTTGTTTTTTCAGGTCATGTCAGACTCAAATGACCAAAACTCAATATCTTGCGTTGACTATGGGTCTTGTGAGTTTTTGACACCTTGATTTCGGTATGTTTTTGCTAGTCTTACCTCCCACCTATCATGGAACATGTTATTCGAAGATGTGCAGATGTCAGGGTCAGGGTTAAGGTCAACCTAGGTCATCTAAAAACATTGCATTTGAGGCTTGCTGAATTTACTTTTCGTGAAGTTTTTTGACTGTATTTTTGGTAAAAGCTCCTCAGATCATGATCTCACGTAACAGGGACACACAAACAAATCGGTGCACACATCAGTATGCACACAGACACACACAGACATACAAACACATATCATTGACCTTGATCTAGCTTGACCTGAAATGACCACAGCCGGTAAAAACCTAGTCAGATAGTGTGACAAAGAGCTGTTCTAGCTGGCCTGGCATCACAACTTGGCAGCGCCATCGGTAATATGGGCACCGCACGTGATATTCCAACGGTGGCCCCAAACAGCAACATTTTTTAGTTTGACCTGACCTGGAAGGTCAATGTTTGACCTAATGAGGTAAAATTGGGTACCATTGAATTTATCTCTTCCTATAGAATCTGTTGGTCTTTGCCGCGAAGCTCTATCTCCAGCAGGAACGAAATGGCGTGGGGGTGGCAGCCCCCCCCCCCCTGTGCGTTCTAGGTGGGAAAATGACATGTGCGGGCGAAGGTTAAATACCTTTTGTGCATTTTCCTTCGTCGCACAGCTCAAAATCAGCACGATTTTATGATCAAGCTTATTTTAGTAAAAGTACCTCCTCAGTTATTTAGTCATATTCATGATTTTGAACTGATGCTATCTGTTTTTAGATTCTGAGCCCAAGCCTGAGAAAGTGACCATCGAGAAAACGCCAGGTGAGACCCTGTATAGTATATGAATACTGTATGGGATGGCGGGCAATAGTAAAAATTATCCCGATGTAACGTCATTGTAGTCCTAGGGTGAAGACCGAAACATGCTTTATTGCCCGAGGCGTAGCCGAGGACAATAACGCTTGTTGAGATATGTTTCTTATCGCCTCAATATTTTTCGGACTGCCCTTCTCATAGCATTCGTTTTATTACATGGCCAGCTCAAACTCGCTAATAAATGTCGCTAAATTTGTTGTCGCTAGGAAGAAAAAAAAATGAGCGGGTTAGTATTGCGCGTTGTCCTATCATTAAGAAAAATAAAAAACCCTTAGAAGAAAATTGAATGAGAGAATAGGCGCAACAGTCAAAATCACCGCACACCCAGTTCACATACGAGTCACGTAAAATGGACACTTCCTTGTTAACCCTCGCCCATGTAGTTGGTGCAACCCGCCCCCTGAGGTTTATCTTAGCTACACGCCGAACCGTTTCAGATAGCCTGCTCAAATTTTCAGTACCCTATGGGGCATCCTTTGCGCAACTTTTGGTATTTTTTTTTGTCAAGGTCATGTCAGGTCACGGAGTTATGACGTCATAAAGGGAACAACCTCCGGCCAGATTTACGCTAAATTGGAGATAGCTTCACATTGGTATAAATGCCGACTGACCTGACACACTGATGGATTGTTTTAGAATCATAACTGGCTGATTTGACATTGGCACAATGTCCGTTGACCTTTTCAAGGTTACTAAAGGTCACGGTCAGGTCAGTGACCTCGGTTGACCTGTAATGACTTCTTGCACTCGTATGCCTTTTCGGGGTATTTTGATGCCCTGAATTCGAATTTGTTATCCATTTCAGGCATCGTCGGTTGTTTCTTGTAGTTCATTTTGGGTCAGGGTCAGGTCAGTGACGTCACACGCCTGACGTGACCCAATGCACAAATGACCTTGCAGACTTCCGATGCTCCAAACGCATCATTTTTAGAGTTATGACATCGAAATACACACCAAACGATAGAGAATTGATCAAGGATCACGATAGTGAAGGTTTCAAGTCGATATCTCTTACCGTTTTGCCGCAATCGGCGCGGAAATCTGAAAAAGTTAGATTTTTCCGAAAATTTGACCTTTGACCGGTCATAAGTAGGTCAAATGTTGACCTAGGACCAAAAAATATACCACCAATCGCGAGATCTCGTTGAGAGCAATCTGTTGGTCTTTTCCACTAAGCTCTACGACGCTCCGTTTTCAAACGCCAGGGGGAGTCGCACCCCCCCCCCCCCCCCTGCATGGGCGAAGGTGGCAAAACACCGTTTACGGGCGAGGGTTAATAGTACTGAATATTTGAGTATAGTTTCTGACTTCAATGGAACCCTATATGGGAATAAGAAGATGCTAACGAAAGTATTGAGAAATTCAGTGCCCGAAATTTTCAAGAACTTTGCTTCGTCGATACCTTTTAATCTTATCCATGTAAAAAAGGAACCTACCTATTTCAACTTTAATATGACTTAATTGTTTTCTGTTTTAGAGTCTCACACTAAAACCGAAGCGGCCATCATCGAGAAAAAGCCAGGTAAGTTCCAATGCGTTGTTCTGTTTCGTTAAAATTGGCTGCACTTCATAATGAATAATGTATTTTTCAGTGGCACAATTATCCTTTCAAATGCTGTGGATGTTTCTCTCATTAGCATCCAAATCGAAATTATTAACCCTACCAATGTCCATGCATGAGCTTGTGATTGATATGGCGTCTTGTTATCTTTTTTTTTATAGAATCTAAGGCCAGACCCGAAGAAGTCGCCATCAGCAAACAGCCAGGTTAGTAAAAGCATTGCACAATGCACATTGATCGTGACATTAAATAACGTACAATATATTCACAATGCACATGATTATATCACCAGGCCAGTGAAGGTGTTCGTTGAGTGTTAAATGCGTCTCGTATATGATTAACATTTTCCGATCCTTTGCAGCGCATCATGTCCTAAGCTTTCCAATCAGGGAGTCTGATGTGACAACATATTTACTTAACTTCATGGAGTTTTGCCTGATGCATGGAACTTTTTCTTACAGATTCTGAGCCAAAAACTGATGATAGCACCGTCGAGAGAAAGCCAGGTAAGGACATGTACCTTGGTTGTCTTCTTTTTCCATTTATTTGCAAGGTTTTCTGACTGGTGTGTAATGGGCTTGTTATTGATGCTATCTCAAATGCAGCAAAATGCTGTTAGAAGTGATCAGGTTTATTTGATTTAATCTAACATTGTTAATTTACCATATATATTTGTAGCTGTGTCGATAATATGACGGAGGTCAGCATTTGTCCTTTTTACAAATACGAATAAAGATTCGACTTAAAATAAAACATCTCCATCTGCAGCGATAGAAGGTCAAACAATATTATCATAACACTTCGATATAGTTATGAAAAATGTATATTTTTCGCATCTGACCAATCATATTATTGGAATAGCATGATTACGTTTTTCACATGACGCAAGTATACACGCATGTTTGTCAGCATGTTTTATCTTTGCTGATCATACCCGACCAGCACCTATAAGTGTATATTTACACATGTTATATCTGATATTGATTAATAGATTCGGAGCCTAAGCATTAGCAGGCTATTGAAAAAAGCCCGGATAGTGCCTGAACAGTGCACATTGCATTGTAATTTTATCCAGATAAGTAGAATATGTCCAAATGATCATATGTGGCCTGGAGTGGGGACAGTCCTTGAGGCTTAACCCTCGCCGGCCGAGGGGGGGGGGGGGGCGGGTGCCGCCCCCCATAGGGTTTTTTTCGCGATAGCTCCGAACACGCTGGCGACAGAGAGCTGAAACTTGGCATACCTGACCTTTGATCCAAGCCAGATCTTTTGACACCAACCGTATTTTTGGGTCAGGTCAGGTCACTGATTTATGACGTCATAAATGAACCTCTGCACGGTCTTCAGATGTCGCAACTTCGCAACGCCCTCACTGCCAGAGGAGATGTCACAGGGAAATGAAACTTGCAGGATCTAGTATCCATTATGAGTCCCACAACTTGTGTATCTCGGATTTTTCCTAAAGGTCATATGAGGTCAGGTAGGTCATTTTCGTGACCTCACCATTATAAGTCAATGGGGAAAAATGAAAACTGCTATTCTGGCGCCGGGAACGATCTCCAACTATCTCAAGCACACAGAATCGTGATTTGATGCACTCCTTGCAAGGTTAGATGCGTCACTTTTGCAATGTTGACCTTGCGTGACGTCATTTATGACGTCATCAAGGTCATATTAGTTTTTCGTCAATAACTCTTGATCAAATTGAGCTAGCGAGTCGGGAAAGCCACCAATGGACTCGGGAAGGCCTGCCGAATCGAATTATATGCGACATGACCTCTTTCGACCAACTTCGAGACCTGGGGTGCTGACCTGACCTTGACCTGAGGTCAACACCCCAAGTTGACCTGACCCGGACCAAAAGTATATCATTCGACGCGCCTGAGCGAGGCGAACACGATGCTGCCAAAATCGGCGCTCTGCGGCCGTTTTTTGCGAAGTTATTCACGAAAAACTGAACCGTACCTTGGGGCACTTGACCTGACCTCAGAGGTCACCGGTTGACCTAGGACCTTAAAATCGGGTACCAATCTCTGCGTCCCGTAACGGCGCACACGCTCGTTTTTTCCGCGACGCGCTAGCTCCACCAGGGGCGAAACGGCGAGGGGGGGTCGTACCCGCCCCCCCCCCCCCCTCGGCCGGCGCGTATGTAGAAAACCAATAGGTCCGGCGAGGGTTAAATGTCTTGTGTGCATTTCTATCACACAGCTATATGTCTGCGTATGTTTATCCCTCGCCCTGGCAGGGCATTTTTCATAACACGGCCTGGCAGGGGGGGGGGGTCGATGCGACCCCCCCTCGCGATTGGCTCCTATGGCACCTAGAAACACCAAATTTGGTAGGTAGGTGGGCCCTCTGGAGTTCTCGCCCCTGTGTAAATTTGGTTGCTCTAGATCAATATTTAGGGGGGTTTTAGGGGGTATAAATGCAAAAATTTCGCTAAAAACAGGTCAAAAGTTTTTCGCTTATAACTTTTGATCTAATTAAGATAGAGCAAAAAGAAAAACACCAGTGAACTCAGCACGTCAAGGCGCGTCGAATGATATACTTTTTAGCTTGCTTAAGTGTACTTAAAGTTTTTCTTAAATTTTAAGTAAACTTAAATCAATAAATTAAGTTAAAGTTAACCAAATTGCATCACATCGCATGTCATTCGATTCGGCTGATCACCAGGAACACAATGATACCATTTTTTAAGCTCTAGCGTCATTATGTGCCAAGTTATTGGCAAAAACGTCATTTGACCTCAGTTGACCTCATTTGACCTGACCCATGGATAAGTACACCAAACAAAGAAGCACCAAGTGACCTGCTGTTAAGTACTGTGGTTTCAAAGCACAAAAGTGATAGAACGAAGCGGATATCTCCAGTATTTTCCGAATTTAGTATTTTCCCATAGGCTTAACATTACGACATAATGACCTCTAACTGACCTCAGGTCAGTGACCTCAAAAAACCCGAACTATATGTTATACAACTCGGTGAACTTAGCACATCCTGAAAGTTTGAAGGAAATCAGCGCAAAACTGTGAGTTGGACAGGTGCAAAAAGAAAATTGAAATTTGACCATGACCTTGTACCGGTTTTTCTGACCTGGTGACCTGACCCAAGGTCACCCGGACCTGAAATTTTCAGGTCACATGTAAAAAGGTTGCCCCATAGGCTGTGCCAAATTTGGCGGCGCTGCGCGCCGCCGTTTTTACGCTATCTTCGAAAAACCTCAGGGGGGGGTCGCATCGACCCCCCCCCCTGCCAGGGCGAGGGTTATGATGAGGGTTGTTTTATCAGAAGATAATGTCTAGTCGCTTAATTATTTTCATGATTTTGAGCCCATGCAATTTGTTTTTAGATGCTGAGCCCAAACCCGAGAAAGCAGCCATTGAGAGAAAGTCAGGTGAGACACTTGTCAAGTCCACTGAATGCTTGGATAATATGCCTTACGCTTATGGAACGGCAAACCTCTGGGATAGTAACAGGCTAACCAATTTAATGAGAAACAAATTCCTGAAATTTTCAGGAAACTTTATATCGACGATATATCTTAAAACCTATCTTTAAAAAAAAAACAAGTGTGGAAAACGAAAAGGAATGTATCAATATCACCTCCAATATGATATATTTTTATGTTTTAGAGTCTGTGGCTAAAACAGAAATAGTTGTCATCGAGAAAAAGCCAAAAGACCCGCGCGCCGTTGGGCTCTGCCAAGCAACGCGCCCTGTTGAGGGGGGGGGGCAATTTGGCCTCCCCCCTAAGATCTCGAGAACCATGCAACCTAGCGACAAGCGGCAAACGGTGTTGGATAGCCCCATCAGGGAACTACCTTGTGACTCAATTTCATTGACCTAGGTCAAACCGATGACGTCACAGGTCAGGTCAAAGGTCGAATTTTCACCGTTTACAGGCATTTCAAGAAATGCGTTGTAAAATCGAGTAAAATGCATTTCATTGAAAACTATCGATGGGGAAATGTTCTTCAAACACATATTTTGCTACTTGAGGTCACTGATATCAGGTCAGGTCACAGAGGTCAGGTCACTGAGGGTCACAAATCAAAAATATCATGTGATGCATGTTTTATGGTCCATTTTATATGCCAAATGCGATTATGTGGGTCAGGCAGCCTCTGGGGTCAGTTTAGATTATGTTCTGGTGAAGGTCAGGTCAAGGTCAGGTCAAATGAGGTCAAATTTTAAAGCTGATATTTTTGTATAAAATAGGTATTGATTCGATGCAGCTCGTTACGGGGAGTTCAATGGTGGCCTTTGTTTTGCCCTACGTGGTCTAGGATTGCTAAAATATGAGTTCAAAAATTTTACGCCATCATTTTTGAACAGTTTTTTTCGCTATAACTTGGCCAAAAAACGAGATATCGATCTGAAATTTGGTATGGAGGTATATAGAAGCGCAGGTACTATCACATATATTCCGGGTTTTTTGGAATTCGGATTTTTATTATAGTTTTTTTAGTTTTTCTAAAAAAAAATAATTTTTTGAACTTTTAAGTGTCAAAAACCCAAAATTTTGAAAACTCGAGATAACATTTTGTAGCGCCGCTTTTTGTTTACATGATCATAAAAAGAACTTTGAAATTGCTTGGTAACTGTAGATTTGGTGAGTGTTTCAAGATTGCATGTTTTTTTGCTCATTTTTGCTCGAACATGACCTCAGTTTGACCTCAATAACTCCTGACCTAAGGTGACCTAAGACTTGAGATTTGGTGTGAAGGTTTCAAATTGATGCATGGGACTGAAAATTTGGCGGCGCAGCCCCCCCCCCCCCAACGGAGCGAGGGTTAAATGTGTTCTTTTTATTCGTTAAAGTTTCTAGCACCTTTTAAGTAACAAATTATTTTTGGGTACCACAATTGTCTTTTCTTATGTTGTGGAAACTCTTATTATTACCAGTATAACGCCTTTTGGGGCGACTACGGAGCGAGCGAGAGGGTGAGCCTTGCACGTGCGAAATTCCGAGGGAGTACCTCCAACGGACTTGTGCACGGCACCTTACTAACCGGTCTCTAGCGATGTGCCAAATTTGAGCACAATCGGCCCAGCCCTTCTCGAGATCTGGAAGCGGCACCCTGCACGTGCGCACGTGCAAAATGGGTCACAACTGACATGACCTGACTCGTGCACGGCACCCTACTAACTGGTCCCTAACCGTGTACCAAATTTGAGCGCCATCGGTCCAGCCGTTCTCGAGATCTGGAAACGACCCCTGCACGTGCGCACGTGCAGCAGCACCCCAACTCTGGCACATGGATATGCAGTGCCTAGTGGGTACCTACCTACATGCCAACTTTCAGCGCAATCGGCCAAGTAGTTACCGAGATATTGCAACAATTACAAAACTGACACCTCTTCGTTTTGCACGTGGCACGTGCATAAGGGGTCACCCACATACATCGGGAATAGTCCAATACTTGGTAGAAGGAATGGAGCTACCCTACAAAAATTACGGCGTGTAAATCGGTCAAGTGGTTGCTGAGATATAAGCCTCGCAAAAGCGTCCGCACGGCCGGCCGGGCCGGCCGGCCGCTCATACTCAGAAATTTCCGTTAATCTAAGGAAAGACTCCGCTCGCTTCGCTCACTCCGTAATGATTCAAATCTGAACAAAAATCCTACCAAATATCCGTGCATGAACATATGATTAATATTTCGTCCTTTTATCTTTCTTATAGAGTCGAAGCTAAACCCCGAAGAAGTCATCAACAATAAGCAGCCAGGTCAGTAAAAGGCTGCAAATAAGCCATGGCATTGTTTACCGTAAAATATATGCGCGGTGCACATGATAATGTCGCCTGAATAGGGTGGTGTCCGTTGATTGCTAAATGCGGTTCATATATGATAAAAAATTTCCGATCCCTTGCTGAGCATCATGTTCAAAACTTTCCAATCATAAACGTGAGATGTAACTTTTTGGTTAATTTCACGGGTTTATATGTTTGTATGCTATTTTATATAAACATGACTTTTTATAGATTCTGAGCCCAAAGATGAGGAGGTGACCATTGAGAGAAAGCCAGGTAAGGAAATGTCCTTTGTTGTCTTTTCCGTTTATTTGCTTACTTTTCTGACTGATTTGCAATGTGATCATTATTATTGCTATCATAAATGCAACAAAGGCTGTATTTTTTTTTTTTGTTTCTGTTTCATTTGATTTACCTGTTATTGTAAATTCGCCTCATATATTTAATTCTGTAATTGACATCGCATCGTTTTATAGATTCGGAGCCCAAGGCTAAGGAGGTTATTAAGAGAAAGCCAGGTCAGTACATGCTCATTGCCTTGTAATTGCATCCAGTAAAGTGAACGATGTGTCAAAATGTCCATATGTGGCCTGGAATAAGCAGAGTCGTTGAGTATTTGTTGTCATTTGCGCAGTTTTCCTAATTGCACAGCTGAATATCTGCGCGTTTTCATGCTAACGTTCATTTTATTTTTAGTAAAATCTATAATTTTTATTTATTTTTTTAACAAATTCAAAATTTTTAGTATTCTTAGTAACCTATTTTCATGGTTTTGTGAACTGATGCAATCTGCTTTTTCAGATTCTAAGCCAAAACCAGAGAAAGTAACCATCGAAAGAAAGCCAGGTGAGACCCTGCTCAAGTGAACACTTATTTGCCAATCGTATGAATGTTTGGATAAAATGTTTCACGTTTATGAAACATTATCCCGCACCGTAGGTAGATAGTGTTTACAATTGCTTCACGTGCAAAGAGAGAAAATTACCAGATGTCGTTTAACTGATTTGTTAAACGTCTAGACTATTAACAAACTATTAAACGTCTAGTAGAAATTTCGTCTCGTCTTAATTATGTCGTGTTTTTTTTTATATAAATGTATGTTTTACCTTTAAGCGCCAGAAACATATCGGCGGTACGGGATAAAATCTTTAAACCGCTCGTAGGTATATTTTTTAACGTCTCGTCTATCGGCTCGACGTTTAAAAGATTTGTCCTACCTACTCGCGGTTTGATATAAAGTAAACCGGCTGGGGGATAATAACAGGCTAACCAAAATAACGAGATATTCCATTTCCTGAAATTTTCAAGAAACTTTATAAGGTGGATGTAAATTAACCCAGCCCCTGTTCACGAGCTCCAGAATCCCTGTACCGTAACGTCACCACGGCGGTAGAATCTCCCTTCACCCATAGGCATGCATGCAAATTTCATCATCTTTCGAGCGAGCTGGAGAAAAAAAAAACAAGGATTATGTGTCATCAAAAGTTGTACCAATGTAACAATAAGTTCGCCTCATTACGATAAATGGAGCTGAAACTAAATAAATAGGACTATATCGAGCCAAAATCAGCCATTCAAATGACCCCTTCATTTGAACGTGAAAGATTTCCTCTGATGACGTCACCACGGGGCACGGCGCCTTTATTTCCCTATAGTGAACCAACCTGAGTAGTAAAGAAATCTTGAATTAACCCAACCTTGGAAATAATCTATATTATAAATTATCAATGCTAAAAATTGACAGGATTCTATCAATTTCACCTCGAATATGACTTATTCTTATTTTTAGAATCTGAGACTAAAACGGAAGCAGTCATCATCGAGAAAAAGCCAGGTGAGTTTCGATGCGTGGTTCTAATATGTGAAAGTTTATGAGAACCTTGCGGTATAACTGGGTGGCACAAATATTCTTTCTCATATTTTTGTTTTTCCTCTCATTATCCTTTAATTTTTTTGTCTAAATGATGCTTGTAACATGTGTTCATGACGTTTAACGTTTTCTATTTAGGAGCTTCTGTTCCCAATAAAAATAATTTTAAACCTATAAATTTCCGCGCATTATTAACCTTTGATTAATATCGTCCTTTTATTATGTACAGAGTTGAAGCACAAACCCGGAGAAGTTGTTAGCAACAAACAGACAGGTTAGTAAACACACTCCACCTGGGGGGGGGGGGGGGGGGTCATTGTATGCCGCTTTGTTAATGTTAATTGGCATGAGCATTCAAAACGTTTTCCCGTGTAATTTAATGCTGGTTGCGCGGAGTTTTCAGTTGATTACAAAATAAAAGGTCACTTTTAGCAATCAATCGTAATAAAAACACCGTCCTTGACTTTCGGCTGCCTTTCTATATTAACTCAGAACAAATAAGAGAAATGTTTATTATTTAGCCTTGAACACGTCATTCTTTAACTAGTTTTGCATCTCTTTGTTTTTAGATTCTGTGTCTAAATGTGAAGGGGTGACTATCAAGAGGAGGCCAGGTACGTATCCTCCATTACCGTTCGTCCACTCCAATCCATGCGTGTGGTATCAGTGTTTCCACCCGCACTCGAATCGTGTTGCCACGCATATGCTCTCTTACAGTTCAGGTTTCTAGTACGAATCGGCTGACACTACACTCACCAACGCCATCCTCTTAGGTGTAAATGACGAAGTGTGAAAGGCGATGCAGTTAAACCAGTAGCGCGACCTTCACACGATTCCCTGCTTTTATTGTTCTCACTCATAAAATCACGTCAAATTTAAGGGAAACTTTGCTGTATACTTATTTGAAGCATGGTCATTAACCAATTTAATGTCCCGTTTAAGGTCACGGAACGTCTTTGACAAGGAAGCCGTCTTATCAGCATACTATCGAAGACATCTCACGGAGCGAGCGAGGTAAGTGTGTAGCTGCCAGAAGCTATACCTACAGGAGCATGAAAAGAAACAAACGAGAAGGAGAGAGGGGGTAGAGGGAAAGAAGGAAGGAGGGGTGAGAGACACCAGTATAGAAATACAGATAGGTTCTTTTAGATTGGCTAAAAAACATCTTAATCTTCCATCATAACCTTTCATTGAGCGATGCTTGCTGGATCAGATGTCGCTGTTTTTTTTTTTCAGATTCTGAGCCCAGAAGACAGATTGTCACCCTTGAGAGGAAGCCAGGTAGGCAGCGAGACCCAAACTTACCTTAGTCGAACACTGTACAAAGGACTATAAAACTCTCTCGATTAGGAGTCAATGAAACATGCAGAACAAGACGACATTCAAAGGGATAAGTGTGACTTAGTTTTTGAGAACGGCACATTGGTTTTTCTGTTAATATGTAGTAAGTTCGTTTTGGCTTGTCTTGCATACCACGACGTGTTATCATACATGTTCATCGCATTTCAGGTACTGGAACTCGATCGAGAAAAACTCTCGTGCGCAGGGAGCATGGTAAGTGCTGCATTTCTTGTCATGATCTATAACAGGTTCTTGTCAGTTCGCTAAATACTTTGATAGCCAGTGTGTATAGCTTGCATAACTCTCGGAACGGCTAGTATCGCGGCAATCTCTTACATGCAGTTTCATTTTTCAGTCTGCTAGGTATTTCATCTCTTGATGCTGATAAACAATCAAACGTCGGACGAAAACTTCAGAAATACCTTCTTATGAGAAATACAAATTTCACTCATGCCGCCGTTGCCATATATTCCATTCCAGGCGCTACGACTCCGACCAAGACCACCACTGTACGAAGAAAACAAGGTGGGATATAAATTGTTAAAGCGCTGATAAGTACTTACGTGTTTTATTCTGATGGCGTTCTACCCCTCACCTCTACCGATAAAAGTACCATATAAGTAGATGCATAGGTACCCTTATTTGTGCAATTTACGGCATTTATGATTTGAATTAGGTAGATATATTTCCACAATGATAGGTTTTTTACCTTCTTAGCCAACATTAATCCTGCACCCTGTGCAACTAATATTCTAAACGACCAAAGCCACAACTGTTGCATAACATTCTGACGAATACGACATGTTTCCTTCATTGGTTTCACTTTGGCTGCGCTTACCGGCCGCCTAAAACTACCGTCAATAATCTAATGTTGTGACATGAACATCTAATCTTCACTTTACATAAAAGATGATAGTGACTGATTCAATGCCCATTTCTGTCCTCTCCGTGGCCGAGTGGATAAAAGCACCGGAATTCGACGCTTAGGGGGACGTGAGAGCCCGGTTCAAGCCCCGCGGTGCGGGCGGCCACATTTAGCTCCTATACGTGTAATGGCGTGCGTGTCTGTGGCCGGGGCCGCACAGAAGCCATGGGTAACGTGAATGAGCGGAGGGGACCGTGTCCAGTCGTGAGGGCACTTTGAACGTTCGGACAAAATTCTGCCATACAACTGGAATTGCACGATCGGGTGGTGTGGTCAGGGTCAGCACAACAAGCTATGCTTAGTGCGGGCTCTGAAGTCTGATTCCTCAAATCCTCCCATTCAGCCATTCGGACTAAATTAAAAAAAAAAAATCAGACTCAGGACCAAGGCAGAAGGTGGTTACTTTTGAAAAGAGGCCAGGTAAGTGAGTCCTGTGTGTGTACCGACTTCTAAAAAAAGAAATATTTATTAACATGTCAGACAAGCTCTATGCAAAATAGAACGTGTAGAGCGTTGTCATAAGCCACCATGGCTCATTTGCTTTAGCGAATACAAGTGTGCAACTGACATATCTTCTAATTAGTCATTATGTTCACATCAGTGACATCACAGGAGTTTTAATTCATTGATTAGCTTATCATGCGTCTGGTAACACGCATCATGAGTATGCCCCATCTCACTGTATGACAAACGGTATTCGCCCTTCCCTGCATTTGTCATTGCATCATTTGTTCACGGTGACTTGGCCCCCCTTTCAGGTTCTTCACCTAGGCGAAAGATGGTCGGCTTTGAAAGGAGGCCAGGTAAGTGCAGTACAATCACAGAAGCTAGGTGAGAAGTGGCTTTAACCCTCGCCGGACCTATTGGTTTTCTACATAGGGGAGACCCGGGAGGTATAGGGCCCCGGGAGGTATGGGCCATCGCAGTTTTGAAGAAGTGTTGCGTATTTTTACACATTTGACCGCGTAAACTGGTAGCAGCCATTCCGTTATACAACCCACGTGATTTCCAAAATCTTCCTCAGTCTTCTTTAACAATGAGCAGTGATAACGCGTTTTGCCCTCTTCGAGTAAAATACGGTACCTACATACGGAATATTCGTGATAAATTTGAACCAGGCTCGTTTTATTATGTCAACCCATCGCTACCATAAAGTTTAAAACATTCAAAGTAAGACTGGATAGACAATTTAAAGTTTTCTTGCAAGATTATGAGTTAACCCGCGAGTTGCTGGGGGGGGGGGGCGTTAAACGCCCCCACTTTTTTCGCCGGGTCATAGCATTAAAACGGCGCGCCGCAGGCGCGCCAAATTTTGGGTACCTGTAGGGAATTGATTGAACTTTATTATGACAAAGTTTCAAAAAAATCGGTCGGAAAATTTTTGAGATATCGAGGTTTTAGTGACGTCATGATTTCTGAGTTTTCGACCAAAAACGGCATATCTTCAAAAAATCATATAAAATCACAGAATAGACATACAGACATGCCGTAAACGCCATTAGACGGCCAATGCCATGAACAATCAAATGGCTATCTTCGATTATTGATTATCGTTCCGCATTTTCCAAAATCTTGAACTGAATCTTGGCAATTTCTCGTGACTACTTCACGACCATGATACATGCATTTCTTAAATTGAGCTTTTTGAGCCAAACACGTACACGTATGACAAAATGAATGTCACCATCGTGTTCTACGCTCCAAATTACCCATAAAACATGTGTCACAGGCTGCGAATATCAGTTTTGATTTTCGGGGATATGTGCCTACCCGGTTGACCTGACCTTGACCCTGACCTATGCTTGATTGACCCCTACATGGAGCTGACACTCTTGTAGGCCTTATATGATGGATTGTGCACCGTTTTGACAGAGTTTATGACGAGAGGCGCCCATTGCGAAGTCCTTAAATCCATGCTACTGAAAGCCCGATTTCAGGTGTTTGACCTGACCTTGACCCGACCTGTGACCTCAAAATTCAACTTTAAAGTACTCATCTGAAGCGTCTCGTCGCGTTCTTTCGTTTGCCGCCTCGTGCGTTTCGCTGCGCCTATTGGTTATCGAGTTATCGGATGGGGGCGTTTAACGCCCCCCCCCCCCCAGCAAACGGTGGGTGGCGAAATACCCCAGCAACTGCCGGGTTAAGATGTAACGCGCATTCTGGCATCCTAACCGGGAGGTTCGGGCCACCCACCCCCGATGATCCTAAATCAATGAAATGATGCTTTCATTGAATGACCTCTTCAATAAGTTTTACTTTTGTCGCACAAGGTCGAAAATTTAAGTACAAATTGCATTCAAACATAAAAATATTATTTGTCTTATTTCATGGAGCATGATTAGAGACTAGAGTTTACCAAAATATTTACATCATAGGTGGCGGAACGGGGAGGGCACCGCGGCACCGTGCCCCCTATCTGTCATGGATAACACACAATTATATTTATGTAGTACATACTTAGTAGGATGAGGTATCATGAGTAGGTATGCCCCATCTCTGTATGGCAAACGGTATTCGCCTTTCTCTGCATTTGTCATTGCATAATTTGTTCACAGTGACTTGGCCCCCCTTTCAGGTTCGTCACCTAGGCGAAAGATAGTCAGCTTTGAAAGGAGGCCAGGTAAGTGCAGTTTGGTAATCATAATCACAGTAACTAGATGAGGAGTTGCTTTTAACATTGTATTGAACTTCACTTTATTTATTAACTTTATTAACTTTATTGAACTGTGGGCGGTGAGAAAATGCATGATGCTGAGAGTTAGGTACCTATATTCAGTTCTGGGGAGTACCTACCTATGTATCAACGCAATACGTAACCGATTGCTATAGTGTTCAGGAGGTTGGCTCTTGCTTACAATGACTGGGCCAACCAGCTTGATTCTTCTTTGCCTTTCACACACAACTGTCGGAACCATCTCCGTGAGTCCAACGCCATCTCGCGGTTAGGCGCCATCTCCGCTCCACCCCTCCCCTTGCCCCCACCTCCTTTCCCTTCACACTCCCCTGGAGCACTGCGCAGACCTGACGGCCGGTGGGCGGAGCCAGCCGGGGTCCGGCTCATTGTGATTGGCCAGCGTCTTATCCTATCACATGGATCAGTGGCTGCACTTGCAGCCCATTAGTTGTAACCAGTTCAACAAACATCCCCATAGGTCATACACCTAGTTATTGTTTTCATTATGTTTTCTCTCTGGATTTTACCTTTTTGTAGACGAGCTTTTGAAGGAATTCGACTTCCGTCCTCTCAGTATCGACTTGTAATGACTAATGGTGTAGGCATCAAAATCTGACGGACAGTTCTGGGGATTAATTCTACAGACGCGGTAGGTACTGATAATTAACAATAACAGTCAACTGAAGTTCTAATATGCATTTTCCAGCTTTTGGAGCAAGAAGGAAACATGTTGAAATCGTAAGATCAGGCACTGAATTGAATTCATAGTAGTCAGTCAGACCGGTTTGCGATCTGAACGACTGAATATCTGCGATGTATTTGTATGAATTTATTTATATTCATTCACTGATGATGGTGTTAACCCTCGCCCTGGCAGGGCATTTTTCATAACACGGCCTGGCAGGGGGGGGGGGGGTCGATGCGACCCCCCCTCGCGATTGGCTCCTATGGCACCTAGAAACACCAAATTTGGTAGGTAGGTGGCCCCCCTGGAGTTCTCGCCCCTGTGCAAATTTGGTTGCTCTAGGTCAATATTTAGGGGGGTTTTGGGGGGTATCAATGTAAAAATTTCGCTAAAAACAGGTCAAAAGTTTTTCGCTTATAACTTTTGATCTAATTAAGATAGAGAAAAAAGAAAAGCACCAGTGAACTCAGCACGTCAAGGCGCGTCGAATGATATACTTGTTAGCTTGCTTAAGTGTACTTGAAGTTTTTCTTAAATTTTAAGTAAACTTAAATTAATAAATTAAGTTAAAGTTAACCAAATTGCATCATATCGTATATCATTCGATTCGGCTGATCACCAGGAAGACAATGATACCATTTTTTAAGCTCTAGCGTCATTATGTGCCAAGTTATTGGCAAAAACGTCATTTGCCCTCAGTTGACCTCATTTGACCTGACCCATGGATAAGTACTCCAAACAAAGAAGCACCAAGTGACCTGCTGTTAAGTACTGTGGTTTCAAAGCACAAAATTGAAAGAACGAAGCGGATATCTCCAGTATTTTCCGAATTTAGTATTTTCCCATAGGCTTAACATTACGACGTAATGACCTCTAACTAACCTCAGGTCAGTGACCTCAAAAAACCCGAACTATATGTTATACAACTCGGTGACCTTAGCACATCCTGAAAGATTGAAGGAAATCAGTGCAAAACTGTGAGTTGGACAGGTGCAAAAAAAAATGAAATTTGACCATGACCTTGTACCGGTTTTTCTGACCTGGTGACCTGACCCAAGGTCACCCGGACCTGAAATTTTCAGGCCATATCTGAAAAGGCTGCCCCATAAGCTGTGCCAAATTTGGCGGCGCTGTGCGCCGCCGTTTTTACGTTATCTTCGAAAAACCTTAGGGGGGGTCGCATCGACCCCCCCCCCCTGCCAGGGCGAGGGTTAATACACCGAAACCGGCTGGAAACATGTTGCCCTTGAAAGAACACCCGGTAATCGAGGACTAGGGTCTATTTTCATTATATGCTCTCTTCGACAAGCGTTAGATACGCTGTATTGCACTGTTTCCATGTTATAATTAGAGGCGCAGAGGTACATTTTATCTAACTTCCTATCAATTGTATACAGTTACACAGCTGCTCGCACAGGCCATTTTGAGACTTAACCCTCGCCCATGTAGGGGGGGGGGTGCAACCCCCCCCCTCTGAGGCTTTTCGGAAATAGTGCAAAAACGGCGGCGCGCAGCGCCGCCAAATTTTGGGTACCTTATGGGGCAAACCTTGCGCATCTTTTGATAAAAAAAAATTTGACCGGGTCATGTCAGGTCACGGAGTTATGACGTCACAAAGGGAACAGCCTCCGGCCGGATTTTCACAAACTGAGTGCCAACGCCCGAGGTTTCCTGCCGGTGGTACGGACATCGGTTGATGGATCGTGATGAAACTTCCCATGCATGTTGGGGCAAGTATTGGCTATCATATGGTATAAGAAACTTGACCGGGTCAGGTCAGGTCACGGAGCTATGACGTCACAAGAGGAACAGCGTCCGGTACTATTTTTGAAAAGCGCCCGAACCACTATTTTGCTAATTCTTGTCACCTCAATGGGAATATGCAGCAATATTAGCTTCTATAGGGAGCAAATGGACCTCCCAAATCCAAAAATACAATCAGATTTCAAAAATTTAAATTTTGATTTTTCGAATTTCTGCCGCCGACTGTGACCTTGCCGACTTCCGGCGCTCCCAACGCGCCATTTTTAGAGCTAGGGAAACGAAATACATACCAAACGATAGAGAATTGATCAAGGAACACGATAGTGAAGGTTTCAAGTCGATATCTCCCACCGTTTCGCCGCAATCGCCGCGGAAAGTTGAAAAAGTCTATTTTTCCGAAAATTTGACCTTTGACCGGTCAAAAGTAGGTCAAATGTTGACCTAGGACCAAAACATATACCACCAATCGCGAGATCTCGGCGAGAGCAATCCGTTGGTCTTTTCCGCTAAGCTCTACGACGCTCCGTTTTCAAACGCCAAGGGGGGTCGCACCAACCCCCCCCCCCCCCCCTGCATGGGCGAAGGTGGCAGATCGCCGTTTACGGGCGAGGGTTAAGAAGTAATTGGCCGTCACCTCACACCTGAATGTTTTGATAGCGTCTTTTGCCCTAGGTTCTGGACGTAAAAGGAAGAGAGTCACCATGGAGCGGAGGCCAGGTAAGGCGATTATGACTTACCAAAGGAGTCAGTTTCAGTCAGCAATAACATAAGACGGCCAAATAAAATAAATTGGCAATAAAAGGCATTATCACAAACACCTTTCAGAAAAACACTTAACATGACGAACTGCCTCTGGTGCGCTGTTTGTTCTAAAGCATGATTGTTCTTGCATGATTGTTCATTTATTTGCTTCTTGCAGGCTCTTCAAGCGTTAAAAAACATCCACGGACTCGTCGTCGATCGAAGAACCGTAGTGGGAGAGGTATGATATAGGCATGACTAATGGTAATTTCAATACAACATTACAAGAACAACTTTTGCGTGGGGCGGTGAACCAGTCGGCAGTCTACTTTTCATTTACCGTCTGCCGAACCAATGTTATGACTTACCAAAGGAGTCAATGTCAGTCAGTAATAACATAAGACGACCAAATTAAATAAACTGGCAATTACAGGCATTAGGTATCACAAACACTTTTCAGAAAAACCACTTTAAATGACGAACTGCCTCTGGTGCGCTGTTTGTTCTAAAGCATGATTGTTCTTTCATGATTGTTCATTTCTTTGCTTTTTGCAGGCTTTTCAAGCGTTAAAAAACATCCACGGACTCGTCGCCGATCGAAGAACCGTAGTGGGAGAGGTATGATATAGGCATGACTACTGGTAATTTAAATACAACATTACAAGAACGACTTTTGCCTGAGGCGGTGAACCAGTCGGCAGTCTACTTTTCAATTACCGTCTGCCGAATCAATTTTATGACTTACCAAAGGAGTCAGTGTCAGTCAGTAATAACATAAGACGACCAAATAAAATAAATTGGCAATTACAGGCAATATCACAAACACTTTTCAGGAGAAAAAAACTTTAAATGACGACCTGCCTCTGGTGCGCTGTTTGTTCTAAAGCATGATTGTTGTTGCATGATTGTTCATTTCTTTGCTTCTTGCAGGCTCTTCAAGCGTTAAAAAACATCCACGGACTCGTCGCCGATCGAAGAACCGTAGTGGGAGAGGTATGATATAGGCATGGCTACTGGTAATTTAAATACAACATTACAAGAAGTAAGAACGACTTTTGCCTGAGGCGGTGAACCAGTCGGCAGTCTACTTTTCAATTACCTACCGTCTGCCGAATCAATGTTATGACTTACCAAAGGAGTCAATGTCAGTCAGTAATAACATAAGACGACTAAATAAAATAAATTAAATAGATTGGCAATTACAGGCATTATCACAAACACTTTTCAGAAAAAAAAACACTTTAAATGACGAACTGCCTCTGGTGCGTTGTTTGCTCTAAAGCATGATTGTTCTTGCATGATTGTTCATTTCTTTACTTCTTGCAGGCTCTTCAAGCATTAAAAAACATCCACGGACTCGTCGCCGATTGAAGAACCGTAATGGGAGAGGTATGAGATAGGCATGACTACTGGTAATTTCAATACAACATTACAAGAACGACTTTTGCCTGGGGCGGTGAACCAGTCGGCAGTCTACTTTTCAATTACCGTCTGCCGAATCAATGTTATGACTTACCAAAGGAGTCAGTTTCAGACAGTAATAACATAAGATAAGACGGCCAACTAAAATAAATTGGCAATTACAGGCATTATCACAAACACTTAAAAACAAAACAAAAAAAAAACACTTTAAATGACTAACTGCCTCTGGTGCGCTGTTTGTTCTAAAGCATGATTGTTGTTGCATGATTGTTCATTTCTTTGCTTCTTGCAGGCTCTTCAAGCGTTAAAAAACATCCACGGACTCGTCGCCGATCGAAGAACCGTAGTGGGAGAGGTATGATATAGGCATGACTACTGGTAATTTCAATACAACATTACAAGAACGACTTTTGCCTGGGGCGGTAAGCCAGTCGGCAGTCTACTTTTCATTAACCGTCTGCCGAATCAATGTTATGACTTACCAAAGGAGTCAATGTCAGTCAGTAATAACATAAGACGACCAAATAAAATAAATTAAGTAAATTGGCAATTACATGCATTATCACAAACACTTTTCAGAAAAAAAAAAACACTTTAAATGACGAACTGCCTCTGGTACGCTGTTTGCTCTAAAGCATGGTTGTTCTTGCATGATTGTTCATTTCTTTGCTTCTTGCAGGCTCTTCAAGCGTTAAAAAACATCCACGGACTCGTCGCCGATCGAAGAACCGTAGTGGGAGAGGTATGATATAGGCATGACTACTGGTAATTTCAATACAACATTACAAGAACGACTGTTGCCTGGGCGGTGAACCAGTCGGCAGTCTACTTTTCATTTACCGGCTGCCGAATCAATGTTATGACTTACCAAAGGAGTCAGTTTCAGTCAGTAATAACATAAGACGACCAAATAAAATAAATAGGTACAGGCATTATCACAAACACTTTCCCGAACAAAAAAAAAACACTTTAAATGACTAACTGCCTCTGGTGCGCTGTTTGTTCTAAAGCATGATTGTTCTTGCATGATTGTTCATTTCTTTGCTCCTTGCAGGCTCTTCAAGCGTTAAAAAGCATCCACGGACTCGTCGTCGATCGAAGAACCGTAGTGGGAGAGGTATGATATAGGCACGGCTACTGGTAATTTAAATACAACATTACAAGAACGACTTTTGCCTGGGACGGTGAACCAGTCGGCAGTCTACTTTTCAATTACCGTCTGCCGAATGTTAATGTTATGACTTACCAAAGGAGTCAATGTCGGTCAGTAATAACATAAGAGGACCAGATAAAATAAATTAAATAAATTGGCAATTTCAGGCATTATCACAAACACTTTTCAGAAAAAAAAACACTTTTAATGACGAACTGCCTGTGGTGCGCTGTTTGTTCTAAAGCATGATTGTTGTTGCATGATTGTTCATTTCTTTACTTCTTGCAGGCTCTTCAAGCGTTAAAAAACATCCACGGACTCGTCGCCGATCGAAGAACCGTAGTGGGAGAGGTATGATATAGGCACGGCTACTGGTAATTTAAATACAACATTACAAGAACGACTTTTGCCTGGGGCGGTGAACCAGTCGGCAGTCTACTTTTCAATTACCGTCTGCCGAATCAATGTTATGACTTACCAAAGGAGTCAGTGTCAGTCAGTAATAACATAAGACGACCAAATAAAATAAATTGGCAATTACAGGCATTATCACAAACACTTAAAAAAAAAACAAAAAAATACTTTTTAATGACTAACTGCTTCTGGTGAGCTGTTTGTTCTAAAGCATGATTGTTCTTGCATGATTGTTCATTTCTTTGCTTCTTGCAGGCTCTTCAAGCGTTAAAAAACATCCACGGACTCGTCGCCGATCGAAGAACCGTAGTGGGAGAGGTATGATATAGGCACGGCTACTGGTAATTTAAATACAACATTACAAGAACGACTTTTGCCTGGGGCGGTGAACCAGTCGGCAGTCTACTTTTCAATTACCGTCTGCCGAATCAATGTTATGACTTACCAAAGGAGTCAGTTTCAGTCAGTAATAACACAAGACGACCAAATAAAATAAATTGGCAATTACAGGCATTATCACAAACACTTTTCAGAACAAAAAACACTTTAAATGACTAACTGCCTCTGGTGCGCTGTTTGTTCTAAAGCATGATTGTTCTTGCATGATTGTTCATTTCTTTGCTTCTTGCAGGCTCTTCAAGCGTTAAAAAACATCCACGGACTCGTCGCCGATCGAAGAACCGTAGTGGGAGAGGTATGGTATAGGCATGACTACTGGTAACTTCAATACAACATTACAAGAACGACTTTTGCCTGGGGCGGTGAACCAGTCGGCAGTCTACTTTTCAATTACCGTCTGCCGAATCAATGTTATGACTTACCAGTTACCAAAGGAGTCAATGTCAGTCAGTAATAACATAAGACGACCAAATAAAATAAATTAAATAAGTTGGCAATCACAGACATTACCACAAACTCTTTTCAGAAAAACCACTTTTAATGACGAACTGCGTCTGGTGCGCTGTTTGTTTTAAAGCATGATTGTTCTTGCATGATTTTTCATTTCTTTGCTTTTTGCAGGCTCTTCAAGCGTTAAAAAACATCCACGGACTCGTCGCCGATCGAAGAACCGTAGTGGGAGAGGTATGAGATAGGCATGACTACTGGTAATTTCAATACAACATTACAAGAACGACTTTTACCTGGGGTGGTGAACCAGTCGGCAGTCTACTTTTCATTTACCGTCTGCCGAATCAATGTTATGACTTACCAAAGGAGTCAATGTCAGTCAGTAATAACATAAGACGACCAAATAAAATGAATTAAATAAATTGGCAATTACAGGCATTATCACAAACACTTTTCAGAAAAAACCACTTTAAATGACGAACTGCCTCTGGTGCGCTGTTTGTTCTAAAGCATGATTGTTGTTGCATGATTGTTCATTTCTTTGCAGGCTCTTCAAGCGTTAAAAAACATCCACGGACTCGTCGCCGATCGAAGAACCGTAGTGGGAGAGGTATGAGATAGGCATGACTACTGGTAATTTCAATACAACATTACAAGAACGACTTTTGCCTGGGGTGGTGAACCAGTCGGCAGTCTACTTTTCATTTACCGTCTGCCGAATCAATGTTATGACTTACCAAAGGAGTCAATGTCAGTCAGTAATAACATAAGACGACCAAATAAAATGAATTAAATAAATTGGCAATTACAGGCATTATCACAAACACTTTTCAGAAAAACCACTTTAAATGACGAACTGCCTCTGGTGCGCTGTTTGTTCTAAAGCATGATTGTTGTTGCATGATTGTTCATTTCTTTGCAGGCTCTTCAAGCGTTAAAAAACATCCACGGACTCGTCGCCGATCGAAGAACCGTAGTGGGAGAGGTATGATATAGGCATGACTACTGGTAATTTCAATACAACATTACAAGAACGACTTTTGCCTGGGGCGGTGAACCAGTCGGCAGTCTACTTTGTAGTTGCCGTCTGCCGAATCAATGTTATTTTGGAATCCCACGTCAGACAGACGCCGCAGTTTGAGAAATATATGCATTATGCAGGAATAACTATGCTGAAGGTTGCTGCTTTCTAACAGTTCACAAATTTTCAGGAATTTCGATATCATTTGAACTCCAAGAGCACAACTATTACATCCTTCTTATTAGTGGTGGTAAGTAAAACGGTAAATGGATCAAAAAGCGTTTGTCTCTAGATAAATGTTGTCTCAATTGATTGCGTTGTAAAGATTGTTCAAACACCAGCTTTATTTATTTGTAATGGTAGCTTTCGGAAGACATCCATCTTCCTTCGTCAGCCTGTTCAAAGTAGGTACTAAAAAATGCATACATGATTGTAAACCTTCAGCAAAGAAAAGACAAAATAAGTTCCGATAACCTAAAAACATGACATTGGTTATCAAGGCCATCTATAGAAGGTAGGTACAGTCACTCACCCGCCGACCAGAGACAGATCCTGAGTGACGTCACCCCTGATGCTCGCAAGGGGTACTCCGTTCCTTTACAACGTAAAATGACTAATTTTATTTGAAGATTACCTTTTGATGGCATTGTACACCTACCGCTCAACCGTTGATGTCAATGGAAAGCCCAACTAATTTTCTAGTGACAAAAAAGAGCAGCAATATGCTAAGAAATGGCCGGTTTTGAAGATATAGATTTAAAAGCCCTCTGCAGTACCTATCTAGCAGGACAGCAACGTAAAAACGCATCGAGCTTATATTTTTACTATGAATAAATCATTTTCCAGTAAGATTTTAGATAAGGTATCGATTTAATAAACAACTGTATTACAATACTTTTATTATTTGTAACTTTATTTGAAAATAATATTTTTAAAAATGGCAGCTGTTGGCAAGTAGATTGGAAGCGATTGGGCGCACTGCACCATTATTGTCCTGAGGCCCCCTTATGATGTCATCAAAAGTGGAGTGACGTTTCCATGGCAATATCAACAAACTTCCCTTTGACGCTACGCTATGACGTCATCGCAAAACGCTAGCACCCCGGCGCCAGCACCATCCGCACGCTAGCAGTATTTGCACTCAAACTTCTGTTCAATTGGTACTAGATTCTTGAAGGTCTCTGTTCCAAACGCGATTTGCCATAAGCTAACGGATCGCACGCAACGTCATTCGAATGACGTCAGGCAGGGGTATGCCTCAGCTCCCAGCGCGCTGCAGCGCAGCGCGCGCAGCGTCGGGCGGTGAAACAGGGCCATGGGCCTGTTAGTTATGAGAAAAAAAAATGTTTTATTAAACAATTTCGAGCAGGGGTGGTTGTAATATATAACTGATGGTTTCACTTTTTGTCAGCCCCGGCTCCGAGCGGTTTCAGCGGCTCGCTGCCGTCCGGCGACTGGCGGGACCTGGGTCAGCGGCCCGTGTCCGACTGTCTGGCCGCCTGCGCGCGCCACAACCTCCTCTTCATGGCTGTGCGCGTGCAGGGCGACACGACCACGTGCTGGGGCGCGCCGGCCGCCGACCTCTCCAGCCTGCAGCACAGCGCTCCGGACGTGGCCGGCATGTACCAGCTGTTCAGCCTAGACGGACTCCGGGTCGGCCAGAAGAGTCACTTCTCCTTCGGCGGAATTGTCGATGTCATTTCGGAGTACCTCGCGAACGGCTACGAACGGTTCTCTATAGCAATGGCAGGTGAGCACATCTTCATTTATGCATTTAACATTTAAACAGCAACTGAAGTCAGGAAGCAGTCAGTCACCGCAAAGCCAAATGGCAGCTTAACCCGCGCACCGACGGGGGTCTGCGCCAACTTAGTACCGACGGGGGGGGGGGGGGCGGATGACCGCCCCCCCCCTGAGATCTCGAGAACGAAGCAAGATAGCGACAAGCGGTAAACGGCATCGGATACGCACGGTCAAGATCTACAATTTTTACTAAGGTCATTTTCAGGTCAGGTCAAAGATGACGTCACAGGGGTCGAAAAAGTCAAAATGGCGGCGCTGGATATGGATAGAGTTTTTCTCGAATAACTTTCGAATTAGTCAAGATAGGAACAAACTAAGGGCATCATCGTGATCCTCTCGTCAATCCGCATCGAATGATATATATGTTGACCTCGAAAGGTCAAGGTCAAAGGTTGACCTCAGGTCACGTGACCTCGAGGTCATCATGTATATCATTCGATGCGTCTTGACGAGCTGAACACAATGAGACCATCCACGCGTCTGTATCTTGTTCCTGTACGGAGTTATTGGCCAAAAACCTTTGGTGACCTTTGATGACGTCACATGACCTCACAGCTGCCCAACAGCAAAACAGACCTCAAGGTAGTGAAGGTTGATCGTATATGAAGTCATGTATGGTATATTGGGCCATTCCGACCCGTTTTAGTGGTAAAAACAGGGAGTTGATTTTTCCCCCATTGACTTATAATGGGGAGGTCGCGAAATTGACCTGACCTTAGGTCACCGATATCAAAATTCCGAGATATACAAATTGTAGCTACTAATGACCTAATAACATCCTGCGACTTTCAAAGACCTCCGACATCTACTGTAGCTCTGGCACGGTGACAAAGTTGCAAAAAAGTGACTTGAGGTTGGGTCATTCAAAGTGACCTGGTGACCTGACCTTGAAAGGTAGGAGGTTCAAACTTGCACACCATGTGTAAAATTGATAAGGGAATAGTCATACCAAATTTCGCGGCGCTACGCGCCGCGGTTTTTCCGCTATTCGCGAAAAACCTCAGGGGGGGCGGATATCCGCCCCCCCCCGTCGGTGCGCGGGTTAAGTTCCTAAAAATATTCTGCCTAGTTACTTATCAGCCGCCCCCGTGTCCGTGTCCGTTTCAGGAGACAGTCAGCCGTCGCCGCTGGTCAGCTACTTCACCGACACGGTGCCCGGCTCAGTGCGCTGGATGCCCACCACCTTCCTGGACAGCCCGGCCGAGTGTGTGGCCCGCTGCTGCGGCCTGCGCTTCTCGCTGGCGCTGGTCCGCTCGTCGGGCGACCGGCTGTGTCTGTGTGGCGACCTGCGTGCGGGCGGTGATCTCGGTCTGACGGACACCAGCCCTCCGTCCAGCGCGGGGAGCATGCAGGTGGTCCGCCTGCCGCCGCCGCCGGCCGCAACCGGCAGCGCCGCCGTCATCGGCGACGGTGAGCTGCGTCACACTCTCGCTTAGCCCGCGCCCCGCGTTGAGGTCTGGCAGGTTCCAGGTCCTGTTGGGGGGGGGGGGGGGGCAAAAGCCCCCCCCCCTTCGTATCTCCGGAACCAATAGCCGGATCTGAAAATTTAAACGGCATTCGAAAGAGCTCGTCGAGATGCACAAGATAGGATATCGATGACCCTGCTATTTGACCTCTGACGTCACAGGGAGGCTAAACAAGGTCAAATTAGTCAAATTTACAATAACGAGAAGTCGGTCATAAAAATGAAATCTAAGCTTCCAAAATGAGTCTGGATATGATGCAGGTATATTATAGAACTGACATGTGGATAGTCCCCTGAGTGGATGATGACCTGTGACGTCACAACAGAGGTCTGCCTCGACCAATCAGGAAGCACTTTGGTGAATCGTAAGGAAAGGCGTGTTAAATTGTGAACATTCGAGTATTTATGAAGACATGTCATATATATGCAACCACAGTAACCTCGTTGACCATTTTTCTTGGACCTATGTCGTCACAGGAAGGTCACAAATAAGGTCAAATTGTACCGGTTTACAACGAAAACAATTTTTTACGTTAAAGTGACTTTGCTCACGTAAAGGATCATATTCAGTCAGGAAGAAGTTGAAAAGTATCATAAATAATACTCTAAACTGATTTCAAGCACAGATACCGAAAAAAATTGAGACGTCATAAGAACAGTCCCTACCTTTTCAGCCATTCAAATGGCTATACCTATCTCTGGCAGTTTCAGAGATATTCATGTGTTAATTTTCGGCATGTGTAAGGCCCGTAAGGGGTTCTCTGACATATATTCCAGTTTTTGAAAATTTTCCCAAAGTTCAAAAATATCTCAATAAAGCTAAATTTTGAGTTAGAAAATCCCTAGATCTAGGGACTTTCATAGTTTGGAAATTTCGAGATAGATAGCCATTTTGTTAACCATGCTTTTTACACCTACGGTCCACTTTTTGAGTCACTTAGTTGAAAATCTGATTTTCTGCGATTTTTCTCCGTGAACAACTCTTTCGACGAAAAATCGCCGAACATGACCTCAGTTTGACCTCTATAGCTCGTGACCTAAGATGACCTGCGACCTGATTTTTCAGGAGTTGTGTAAAATTGATGTCCAGAGAGGTACTGAAAGTTGGCCAAGTCGAAATTCGCAGCCGTTTCTGAGTAATCTGCGAAAGGGAATTAAATGTGTGAATTGGTTTTCCTTGGGATATTCAACGAACCTTCATCGATCAGTTTTCTTCAACGTTTATCACAAATAGGCACAGTAAAACGTCAAGAGATTTATTATTCTGAAGTTTGAAATCCATTTGATGTGCTAGGGTAAGATTTTGTTGATAACTATTCATAATGACTGGTGTCTTATTCACAGGCGTCTACCAGTCACCGACAATTATGGCTCAATGGATGACGTCCACTCTATGCCGAGTTCTCATCAACAACGGTATAATAATTTCATAAAACACCCGGAGAGAGAGAGAGAGAGAGAGAGAGAGAGAGAGAGAGAGAGAGAGAGAGAGAGAGAGAGAGAGAGAGAGAGAGAGAGAGAGAGAGAGAGCGAGAGCGAGAGCGAGAGAGAGCGAGAGACAGAGAGAGAGAGAGACAGAGAGAGAGAGAGACAGACAGAGAGACAGAGAGAGAGAGAGAGACAGAGAGAGAGACAGAGAGAGAGAGACAGAGAGAGAGAGACAGAGAGAGACAGAGAGAGAGACAGAGAGAGAGAGAGAGAGAGAGAGAGAGAGAGACAGAGAGAGAGAGAGAGAGAAAGAGACAGAGAGGGAGAGAGAGAGAGAGAGAGAGAGAGAGAGAGAGAGACAGAGAGACAGAGAGAGAGAGAGAGAGACAGAGAGAGAGAGACAGAGAGAGAGAGAGAGAGAGAGAGAGAGAGAGAGAGAGAGAGAGAGAGAGAGAGAGAGAGAGACAGAGAGAGACAGAGAGAGAGAGAGAGAGAGAGAGAGAGAGAGACAGAGAGAGAGAGAGAGAGAGAGAGAGAGAGAGAGAGAGAGAGAGAGAGAGAGAGAGAGAGAGAGAGAGAGAGAGAGAGAGAGAGACAGAGAGAGAGAGTGAGAGAGAGAGAGAGAGAGAGAGAGAGAGACAGACAGACAGAGAGAGAGAGACAGAGAGAGAGAGAGAGAGAGAGAGAGAGAGAGAGAGAGAGAGAGAGAGAGAGAGAGAGAGAGAGAGAGAGAGAGAGACAGAGACAGAGAGAGAGAGAGAGAGAGAGAGAGAGAGAGAGAGAGAGAGAGAGAGAGAGAGACAGAGACAGAGACAGAGAGAGAGAGAGAGAGAGAGAGAGAGAGAGAGAGAGAGAGAGAGAGAGAGAGAGAGAGAGAGAGAGAGAGAGAGAGAGAGAGAGAGAGAGAGAGAGAGAGAGACAGACAGAGAGACAGAGACAGAGACAGAGAGAGACAGAGACAGAGACAGAGAGAGACAGAGACAGAGAGAGAGACAGAGAGACAGAGATAGAGATAAAGATAGAGAGGAAAAAGAGAGAAAGAAAGCGACAAAGAGGCTGGTAACATATAAACTGAAAATAGGAACGAAGAAAATCTCTCGTGGGGATACTTATGTAATCGTATTCTCGCAATAGGTGATATGTCGTTTAGGATCCGTAGCCTGTGAATTGTGATGAGCCGTACCAATTAAATATTCTTAATTTCGCTTAATTGGATTGATATGCTACCCAACCGAAATAGAAGAGTCATGTTTTTGGAAGCAAAATGGTTTCCACCGACTCTTCTTGTTATTTCTGTATAGGTACCTAATCATAGATGCTTGGTCATTAAAAAATATATCAAAGTTTGGGTAAGACAATGATCTAACAATGTTGCTATGCGTCCAAATGATAAAATTACATTCTCTGGTGTTGGCAGAGCCCGCTGATGTGAAGTTCGCGCAGCTTGCCGCGGTGCAGCGCTCCAAAGCTGTCGACGTTGGACCACCCGGCGACGACCCGGGCGTGTGCATATCCAAATGCATGTCTGAGCTCAAGATGCCGGCGATGAACAAGGACCATTGTTTCTGCCTGAGCGTTGGAGACGTGGAGCTGGAAGAGACTCTCATGGAAGGTGGCGACGTCCTCAGTGTTCTGGACGTCACGAAATACTTGCCGAAATCATACGGTTAGTGGGTCGTAAATTCGTGAACCTGTGGCATGTGAAGTCAGATCCAAGAGGGACTGACGTAAGTAAATGTCCCTCGACTTGCCCCTGCGTTAGCGGGGGCTACTGGCTATGCGCGGTGGCAGAAGCAGAGCTTCACCTGACGGCACTCGAGTGTTGATAAGGGAGGAAGCTGCCTTTGGTGTTTTATCTGGCCCGTGGCCGTCTTAGTTCAAAGTTTAAAGTTATAAAGTCAAAGTTTTAAAGTTTATGAAACTTTATTTAGCGTTAACATACAGTGTACGAGAGACTGTCGCCGGTGAAAAATCTTTCATTTTTGAGCACGGCTTGCCTTCAACATAACAAGTCTTTTTAATTTTCAGGGTCTGAGCCTGCTCAGGACATATCAACGTCTCAGTCGCAAGTAGACAGTCCAGCCAGCACAGGCAAGTCAAAATCAGGGATCGGGAATAAAGCCTTTCCCTTCTCAATCCAGGCAATATCCACCAGCCATCATCTGAGTGTGCGCACGAAATTCCTCTCGGATTTACATATGATGCGGATTACACCGACAGCATTGAGTGCTCTGTTACCTACTCATTGCTGACTTGGTTTCTTTTCAGACATATCGATAAATTTCCAAGTTCGGGAGCACAACTATTACATTTTATTGATCAACGGCGGTAAGCGAATGAAGGAGTATGGATACCTAAGCTCTATTCTGGTCCATGTTGTTGCCGCCATTTCTATAACATATTCATGCCTGAGCAACGCTTGCGTGAATTTTGCTATCGTGAAGTTTAAAAGAGATATGTGCGATATAAAGGAAAGAAAAGAAGCGTCCGTTTTTAGCATCGACTGTTACGAATCAATTTCTGAAAGATGTAGGTACTCAAATGTGGCTGTGTTCGTTGGACTTATTTATGAATGTTTTTCTCAGGCATGCTTTCGATTTCTTGTTTGTCGCAAGTACTTGATGTTGATCAGGGCTCCTGCCAAATTTGAAATTTATTTGCTTTGCCATATGGCTGATAAGCTCTGCGTGTGGACTGTGGTATGGAATGGATGTTATGAGCCATTAGTGTCGTTTGACACATGTTCTTTTTGTCAGCCCCGGCTCCGAGCGGTTTCAGCGGCTCGCTGCCGTCCGGCGACTGGCGGGACCTGGGTCAGCGGCCCGTGTCCGACTGTCTGGCCGCCTGCGCGCGCCACAACCTCCTCTTCATGGCCGTGCGCGTGCAGGGCGACACGACCGCGTGCTGGGGCGCGCCGGCCGCCGATCTCTCCAGCCTGCAGCACAGCGCTCCGGACGTGGCCGGCATGTACCAGCTGTTCAACCTCGAGGGACTCCGGGTCGGCCAGAAGAGCCACTTCTCCTACGGGGGAATTGTCGATGTCATTTCGGAGAGCCTCTCGAACGGCTATGAACGGTTCTCTATAGCAATGGCAGGTGAGCACATCTTCATTTAGGTATGCATTTAACATTTAAACAGCAACTGAAGTCATGAAGCAGTCAAAGTCACCACAGAGCCGACACCTTAAGTTCCTAAAAAATATTATACCTACTTATCAGCCGCCCCCGTGTCCGTGTCCGTTTTAGGAGACAGTCAGCCGTCGCCGCTGGCCAGCTACTTTACCGACACGGTGCCCGGATCAGTGCGCTGGCTGCCCACCACCTTCCTGGACAGCCCGGCCGAGTGTGTGGCCCGCTGCTGCGGCCTGCGCTTCTCGCTGGCGCTGGTCCGCTCGTCGAGCGACCGGCTGTGTCTGTGTGGCGACCTGCGGGCGGGTGGTGATCTCGGTCTGACGGACACCAGCCCTCCGTCCAGCGTGGGGAGCATGCAGGTGGTCCGCCTGCCGGCGCCGCCGGCCGCGACCGGCAGCGGCGTCATCGGCGGCGGTGACGTTGGTGAGTAACGCCGCCCGGCGCGCTGCGGGGTCGACACAATGAAAACCGACGGGTAGGCCAACTTCCTTTACATCGAAGTGCTTATACCATGGATGCAATGGTTTCTAATTTAGCTCGCGGCGGAACGGGGAGGTCACCGGGGCACCGTGCCCCCCTTTGATTTGGGCATTTTAACATTAGCCCTATGGACGTTGCATGGAAAGAATGGGACCTAAAGTCGGCGGTGCCCCCCCCCCTTAATTGAAGGTGTTCCGCCGCTACTGATAAACCTGTATGTTACCCTTTAGGGATGCTTAAAACAAGTGAGAAAGCAATACAGCCTCAAGCCTTATTAGTGCGATAAATTAAAATAGCCTAGCATTGTTTGCGTTGACGTAACTTTCTGTGCTCACAGGCGGGTACCACGCCCCGGCAATACAGGCGGAGTGGATGACACCCACTCTCTGCAGAATCCTCATGGATAACGGTATGGTAACACGATATGTAAATGCATGAATTAATCCCCAATATTAAACCTAAACTTTATTACTCAATCAATGCATAACAGCGTTCTTTCGATTTGTCTGACGCTTGATGTAGTCGATTGTTTTGTCGATAAATCATAATATTTCATATTCACCTCACTGATTGTCAGGAGTGACAGCCGGCGAGCTCGGCTGACCCGCCCTCGTCCCGGCAGAGCCGGCGCCGGTGAAGTTCAGTCGGGTGGCGGCACTCCAGAAGGTGCAGGCTGTCAGTCTGGACGCGCCCGGCGACAATCCTATCCGATGCGTCATGGAGTGTGAGTCCCAGTTCTTCAAGTGGGCGGCGCTGAACAAGGGGCACTGCTTCTGCTCGGACCTGGACATGGCGCTCGAGGACCGCTGGACGGAGGACGCAGACGTGTTGACCGTCATGGACACCACCGAGTACCAGCCTAAGCCGGATGGTTAGTAGGTGCTGCCGCAGTGGAGCGGCGCTACATATATTGGCGAGATGGTACAACTTCCTGATTTACTGATGTCTATCCAACGCTGCAGAGGAATCCAGAAAGCCTTCTTATTAGGCCCAAGAAATGTACATTGCACAGCAGTGGTTTTACCGGCACTTTGTGTTTGAGCGGCTTTCCCGTCCTCTGGTGGTTGCAAAGACGCCAAATAAGAAAGGAAAATAACTTCGCCTTGTGTGTGTTCTTTTTTAATATTTTTATAACCTTTCCACGACGGTTCGAAAAGTTCATTTGACCCATGACGGTAAAAGCCAGGTCACAGTATGCATTTCTGGATCGTTTTTCATTGCTATATTGGGTTATACTTATGCAATACCTTCGCTCTCAAAGGTCAAATAATGTTTACCACATATTTCTGCAGGGTCGAAACTGATGCAGATCTTCCAGAATCCGAAGACAAACTACTTCAGGTTCATTGTCGGCAATGGTAAGAATGTAATGACCTACCAAACTTATTGTACGAACGGTTTAATTCGAGCTACACTGCACTGGTAAAGCGGCAATTGACCATCGAATAGGGTGTTGATTCGAAAATACGTAGCCTGGCGAAGGCTCATCTGAGTTTACAAATAGTCGAGTGATGTCCAAGAGAAGGAGTCCCACCAGCCCGTTGACCTGAGTTCCGCCGCCGGCAGTGCTGCAGAAGTGCGGTTACACGGCCGAGGCGGTGGACGCGGCCGCCGGACCGCCCGGCCAGTGGACGGCCGTGGGCGCGCCGCAGCAGCACCCGGCCGGCTGCGCCGCGCAGTGCGCCATGCAGCCGGCCGGCGTGCAGCCGTTCGTTGCCGTGCTGCCGCTGGGCCCCGGCCAGTACCGCTGCTGGTGCGCCCCCCACGGCGACCTCTCAAAGTACAGCGGCGTCGTGCCCGACGCACCCGGCCGGGCGCAGATCTACGACTTCACGGACCTGATCAAAATGATGATGACGTAGCTTTGTCTATATGATAACGCCGATTTCCTTGCCTGGTGTGACCCGCGTGATGCTCCGTCGATGAGCATAGCACGCTGTAATTTTGCTGTTTTTAAGTTTTGCACTGTGTGAGCACACGTAGGTACTAGCGAAAGCACGTATAGTAATTATTGGCAGTTTATCTGCTTTGCACCCTGCACTGTGTGAATTTGCACGCGGCACATGATCTGCATCGAGTATTGCACCAGTGAGTGATTGGCACCAACGCACCTCCGCACCAATGCACCACTTGTTTATCAAACGCACCTGCCTACTTGTATCATTTAGTTGTAAGTCGAATGATCAGCGTTCAGCTACGTTGTACTGAAGCCGGCCCTGCTAATTGGCATTCCGGTTTTCAGTTGTGTGGTTGCACTAGGTAGTGGTAAGTTGATTGGCGAGCGTTTGACGCGATGTGCTAACGAGCGCCGGGATAGATGCACGCTACTTGCACGCTAATGCTAATTGCAATGGGTTACCAATTGCATTTGCAATGAATCTTGAACGTTGCACATGGATAAATACACGTTCAAGCACGAACTAGTGTTTACCTTTTAGCGTTTCTGAAATGAGTATGAGTTGTAAACCACTGACCAAGCTGAAGCTAACTACTTTTAGTGTTGCAACTGACTGAGAAGCATAATTCATTATATTGAAGGTCTCACCCTCTCGCCATTTTAAGATCTCCCTCTGTATGACTTCAAGACTCGGAGAAACACCAACTGCAACGATCAGATTCATTTGTTCATTTGTTCACACAAGTTCTCTATGTACAGAAACTATGGCGCACCTTGCGCGTCCGCCTAACCACGGAAACATTCTGCACAGCCGCAAGTCTTCGTTAACGAACGAAACTCGTCATATTCACAACGCTTTACTTTACACTTTTACTTTATATTCAATGTGAATACCGCTAATCGATGCAAAACCGCACGACTCACTGCTTATGGGCTATAATATTAGGACATGTCACCCTTTGCAAGAAAGAAGAAGGAAGGCACTCGGTGCAAAGCATGACCCCGCTCGTTCTGTCACATGGTGACAGTCTTGTTTCGTCCTCTGTCATGGCCTTGGCACACACCTGCCCTGATAACCCGATGCCTGAGAGGTGGACTCGAATCCACAGCAGCCATAGGACCCACATCCTGTGGTAAGATACTCCCGCTTCCCTGCACACAGCCATACAGACGAACAAAGCTATACACAGAACCCAAACGCCGCCTCGCTGTAGTAAATAATGGCCTGGTCTAGTAGTAAAAACAACACGATAAATAGATACCCAATACCCAATTGGATAAGCAAACAAAAATTGATATTGTCGATCATAAACTTCTAATCATATTGCGGGTTTGCATCCACTGAAGCTGCTCATGTCACCACCAAGCAGCCTTTTGTTTCCAGCTCACAAGAAGAAGCCCATGGGCAAGTCTTCCTCCTCACCCAGCTCGTCGAAGGCCAGCGCGCCCAGTTCCTCGTCCAACAGTGCGCCGTCCACCACACCCGCAAACAACTGGTTGAAGCACTTGCTGCCCGGTACGTTGAAGTGCGTGTACGGGTTCTCTCGCGGCAGGCGCGCGTTGCAGAGCCAGCAGAACAGTGTGCCGCATTTTGTGCACGACATCTTGTTGCAGCCGTCGATTTTCTGCCGCACGGTCGGAATAAAAGGTCAAAGAGCTGGATTATGTGAGCAGGTGTGGCGCCGAACGCAACTCCATTGGACTCAAAGGAAGTGGGGACACCTGAAATGGAATTAACCGTTTTTTGCTCTCCCTCTTATCTAAAATAGTTTTGTTTTTTAATAATTTGATTGATAAATTGTGATTCATAAAAAAATGTTAAGCGAGCTTTCACTCACAGATAATTAGGGCTAGGTTCATTACCAGTGACCACTTTTCCAAATTCAAAAAATTATTCTAAAAGGCCAAGGCCATCGCCCGTGCCACCGCCGTCCCCATCAGAAAGCCGTGTGACCCGCCGTGCTCGTGACGGCTGCTGATTGGCCAATATTCGGCGACCCGCACCGGACAGCCGGAGGCCATAGGTCACGTGACGTGGCCCGGCGAGGGGCGAGCGGGGCCCCAGTCGGGAATTTCCGTGGACGCTGCGGTACACAGGCGGCCGCGAAACGCCGTGTCTGTTGTGACAAACGAGTGCTGCGCTGGCCGTTTGAGCAAGTGTAACGTGATGCGAGTGATGTGTAATTTAGAAGTAACGTAAAAAAGTAACGGCATCGACTACCTAGAATCACATCAACCAGCACAAACTTACTAACGTTAAACGGTTATTTTGTTTCAATCGGTTTCACTGTATCGCTGCATGCTTAACCCGCGCACCGACGGGGGTCTGCGCCAACTTAGTACCGACGGGGGGGGGCGGATGACCGCCCCCCCCTGAGATCTCGAGAACGAAGCAAGATAGCGACAAGCGGTAAACGGCATCGGATACGCACGGTCAAGATCTACAATTTTTACTAAGGTCATTTTCAGGTCAGGTCAAAGATGACGTCACAGGGGTCGAAAAAGTCAAAATGGCGGCGCTGGATATGGATAGAGTTTTTCTCGAATAACTTTCGAATTAGTCAAGATAGGAACAAACTAAGGGCAGCATCGTGATCCTCTCGTCAATCCGCATCGAATGATATATATGTTGACCTCGAAAGGTCAAGGTCAAAGGTTGACCTCAGGTCACGTGACCTCGAGGTCATCATATATATCATTCGATGCGTCTTGACGAGCTGAACACAATGAGACCATCCACGCGTCTGTATCTTGTTCCTGTACGGAGTTATTGGCCAAAAACCTTTGGTGACCTTTGATGACGTCACATGACCTCACAGCTGCCCAACAGCAAAACAGACCTCAAGGTAGTGAAGGTTGATCGTATATGAAGTCATGTATGGTATATGGGGCCATTCCGACCCGTTTTAGTGGTAAAAACAGGGAGTTGATTTTTCCCCCATTGACTTATAATGGGGAGGTCGCGAAATTGACCTGACCTTAGGTCACCGATATAAAAATTCCGAGATATACAAATTGTAGCTACTAATGACCTAATAACATCCTGCGATTTTCAAAGGCCTCCGACATCTACTGTAGCTCTGGCACGGTGACAAAGTTGCAAAAAAGTGACTTGAGGTTGGGTCATTTAAAGTGACCTGGTGACCTGACCTTGAAAGGTAGGAGGTTCAAACTTGCACACCATGTGTAAAATTGATGAGGGAATAGTCATACCAAATTTCGCGGCGCTACGCGCCGCGGTTTTCCCGCTATTCGCGAAAAACCTCAGGGGGGGGCGGATATCCGCCCCCCCCGTCGGTGCGCGGGTTAATGAAATTATAACACACGCACCAAATATCCAGTATTGCGGATAAGGAAAATTGTGCTGCAAACTAATGGACTACGGCCGTTACGTTACATATATTGCAGACATAACGGAAGAGCGTACCGCATTTTATGCATAACATGTTGTTGCAGCAGCCGCTTTTCTGTCACCGGGTCAAAGCATCAATGTCTAGCTACACTATGCGGGATCCTACATCCGTGATCTGCGTTTTGTCGGGTTTTGCGGGAAATCGGTACGCAGGTCAAGTTCAGCTGATAGGAAATACAGCGGTCCATCAGCGGTCCATAGACCACAGCTCCGTGGGTCTTGGATGTTGATTGTTGATACTATTTCGCAAAGGAGCTGAAACCGGTGGTTTACATAGACACCAATTATGTAGAGTGACAGGTTCAGTGCCGTGTCACCTGAAGATAAGCTAAAAAGACATTCCAAACTTATTAAACGCTATAATTACAAAGGCAGCAGTCTGCCTTCAAATTACCAGCCTACATTCGTATTAAGATTCAGACGGGTTGGCGCCGTCAACTAATCTCGATCGGAGTGAGAGCCACCATCGTTACGAGCCCCGTCGGTGGACCCACCTCGATCGGCGTGCGGCAGCGCGGACAGCGCTCGCTGTGGTCTGACATCCAGGCGGCCGAGTCGACCTCCTCGACCAGTCGCTGCAGCTGCCGGCGGCCGTAGCGCCGCTCCAGGTCGGCGCGCTCGCCGGCACCGGCCACCCGGTACTGGCGCACCAGCTCCAGGCGCTCACCTGAAGGACAGGGGAGCGTCAGACGGGGGCGGAGGACACACGGTGGACAATGGACACACAAAGGACGGCTGGATACAAGGACAGCAGCTGATCCGTCGGGAAGCATCACGAAAGTACCGTGTGGCGTGTATGTGCATTGTGCGTCTAGGGCTCTAGGGGGACTAGGCTAAAATGTAAAATGGGTCATAATTGAAAATGAATATAGATTCAAAAAAGCGTGATCCAATGTTACCTCTTGTCACCGACCACTGCTGAGCGGTACCCGTCGAGTCGCCGGCCGGGCCACGTGGCTGCCGAGCCGGCCGATGCGGCCACGTGGCGCCCGAGGCGTGTCTGACCGGGTAAGGTCATGCGCGGGGAGCGCGCTGATTGGTCGCTGGTGTCCCGCGCCGCAGGACACCAGCGAGGTGATCTCGGGCGGGTGAGCCATTGGCGGGTTTAGTGTGTTATGCTGTCTGGTGGGGGGCGGAATGGAGCTGAACTCTGGAGTGAACTGTGAGAAGTGCCAGTAAATCCTCAGTGGTCAGTGGTTTAACTCAGTGGCTGTGACGAGAAATTAGAGACGGAAGTGGCGGAAGGGCGAGGAGTGACAGCGGGCCACAAACGCGCGACTGTGTGAGTGTGACCCTCCCCCTTACTTCCGGGGACCTAGGCCTTTTTCAGCTCATTGGGATGTGTGAGGGGGGCGGCCACCGGTGTTTCGCCAGCGAAATACCGAGGGCTTAACTCTTTTCCCGTGTTTCGCCATCGACACCGGGGAAAGGGGCCTCTTTCAATACAAGGGGTGCGGCCAGTCGGCTTCGGCCAACCTCGCTATCGAGGCGTCGAAGTATCGGTAGATCTGTCTGCTCACGGCGCCCTCGCCACTGAGGATCTCTGATCAGGCAGCGACTGTCGCCTTCCTCACCAATCCTGTTCCGACCTCCTAATCCCCCTCAGCCAGTCACAAAACACAAGTGTCGTCAGTGCATGTGAACCAGAGGACATCGTGGCGACATTATCCCAACGTGCGATTTGTAAAAATGATAAAACACAAGGACTGGTAAAACCCGGATAAGGCTAGCCCTAAGCTGACCTCCAATAGGTTCGTCCACCAGTGTCTTGCATACTGACCGCTCTTGACTGCGCACGGGTTGTTTCCGTGGTAGGCGTTCTGGCAGATGGCGCAGAAGGTGTGGTCGCAGTGCGCGCACCGTCCCAGGCTGTCCCCCGGGTCCAGCACCACGGGCTTCTGAAAACGCACGGGGAGGGAGAGGACCGATTAGCGTACATTGGACTCCTGAGTACGCACACAGGAGGATCGATCTTCTATAGCCTTGGATTGATCATGCACCACGGACTTCTGAAAATTCAGGGAGGGTCAATTAGATATTACAGTTCATTTAAGCCAAGAAGGCTTCTTGAGAAGCATTGAACTTGTTTTCATGGAAATTACCTGCGTTTGGTGACAAAAGTCGCAACTCGCAATATTTGGGGGTTGGGGTTACAGGACGTTTCAGACAGTTCCTGACAGTAGCCTTGCTCACAAATGACCGTCCGTACCTGACAGTGAGCCCGTAAATGACCGTCCGTACCTGACAGTGAGCTAACAAATGACTGTCCGTACCTGACAGTAGCCCTGCTCACAAATGACCGTCCGTACCTGACAGTGAGCCCGCGGACAAGTGACCACGTCGGTCATGGCGCTCAGACTGGTCCGCAGCAGGATCGTGTCGTACCGTTCAAACAGGTCGTCACCGACCAGGTCCCGCACCTGGGGAGCGGTCAGTAGAACGACCGGTGATAGAACCGGGAAGAGAAGCAGTCCACGGTGGGAGCTCGAAGAAATTCAACAGACTGAAATTGAAATGAGACTATTTGAAACTCGTAGTAATATCCCGCGAAGGATTCTACGACCTCTTCTGCAAACGCACAGCTCCACTATGAAGACGTGCACGCTGCTGTCTCCCCCCCCCCTTCCCTCCTCCGCTGGACTTGAGCCACTCACCTCTTTGGGAGTAGCCTGCTCGGGACACTGGTCCTCCGGGCAGCGCAGGTTCTGCACCTCTCCGTCCCTGATCAGCACGGTATAGTAGGCGGTGAGGCAGTCGCGGCAGTAGACGTGGCCACAGCGCGTCAGACGCACACAGTCCGAGCCGGCGCGCTCCTCGCCACACACCTTACAGGGGAACCGGCGCCGGCCGAACTCGGCCGCCTCGGCCTGCCGCTGGTGCGTCTCCAGCAGGCGGTGCACGCTGGCCGAGGCCGGCAGCGTCAGCCGGTAGCGCGCTCGCAGCTGCTCCACGCTGGCGCGCCGGTTCAGACTCCGCGGTGGGCTGGAGCCGGCGGCGGGCGACGGCGGACCGGCGGCGGCCGCTGCCGCTGCTGTCCGAGCCCGGTCCACGAAAAACGACACGTCCAGCTCATGTTCCAGTCCCAGGAAGGCGATGCTGTCGTTCCTGAGAAATTCTGTGTACTCGTAGAGAACGGTGTTGCCTTGGCCCTGCTCCCAGAGCGTCACTAGGTGTCGCCAGATCTTGAGCATCTGAACACAACGAAAGAGGAGCACTCGATCAGCATAGACCCTGTCATAACAAGCAAACAGGATATAACATTGCTAACAAGAAATCGCCAACCCAAAAAAAACACACACACAAAACAAGAGTATATACCCGGGTCTGTGCTAATAACCACGTCAGCTCCCGTTTAATTCATTGCTGACTGCAACAGCTGCGTGTACGCAGTCCCTGCTTTTGTTGCTTATTGAGGCTTTAGGGCGCACCGACTTCAAAGGTCAGTTTGCGCCCATACTCAGGTACAGAGCAGGACGGATTCAGTACACACCTGGGTGGGCGTTAGCCAGCTGCACGTGACACGGTTGGTCGGAGGCGCCTCCAGCGGGTACTGTTCCGGCAATGTGAACTCGATACATATCGGCGGCAGTGCGCTCACAGACAGCGGCTCCTTGTCTGAAGGCGCGGAAGCACGTCGGTCAGCTTGAAAAAAAATGCAGTTGCAAGCAGCAATCCCACAAAGGGCAAAAGCAGCACAGGCTCTGTTGACATGGTGGCATAATACATGCACACAGCACAAGCTCATATAATTACATATTGCAGGCATTTACTACCTTCCATAAAGTATTTATCTACTACCTATCACATATTTGTGCATTTTGATGCTAAAAAAATGAGCAATTATCATTAGCCATTGCCATTATATTCAGACTATGTCAGCCTCACCAGTCCCACTGACCAGGCTATGAAAGTCTCACCACTCAGTACTGAGCAGGCTATGACACTATGACAGCCTCACCAGTCACCAGTCACCAGGCTATGAAACTCTCACCAGTCCCACTGAAAGGCTGACAGCCTTACCAGTCACCAGTCACCACTGAACAGGCTATGAAAGTCTCACCAGTCATCACTGACCAGGCTATGACACTATGACAGCCTCACCAGTCACCAGTCACCACTGACCAGGCTATGACAGGCTCACCACTTCACCAGTCACTAGACTATGACAGCCTCACCAGTCACCACAGAACAGGCTATGACAGGCTCACCAGTCACCACTGATCATACTATAACAGTCTACTCTCACCATTCACCAATGACCAGGCTGTGACAGCATCACCATCTACTATCTAGTCAGTTAGTCACCAATGACCAGGCTTTGACAAGTTCAACTGGGTTCTGGGACTGAAACATTTGCAATGGGACACCACATGCATACTATAATCCATCAGAAGCACCACTGCACTCTGTTAACAGCACTAGTGAGTTCTGGCTGCCCCTGTCCTCACCAGCACTAGTCACTGACCAGGCTCAGGTGGTTTCACCAGCAAGGGCCGCTGCAGTTCTGGTGACACGCTGATCATACCACTCATTTGCTTGTCATCTGACGTGAAGAGACCATCATGTCCAAAAATGCTGTCCATGACCAGCAGCTCCTCACGCTGCTGTTCTCGATCCTCCATGTTGGTGGTTATCTCCCAGAACTGCGTAACAGTCGCCGCAACATATTTTTGTCATTGATCAGGATCATGGCCCACAACTTGAACTTGAACTGAATCAAAAAGAAAACTGAGCAGTGGGAACAATTTGACACTGCTAGATCCAACAATTTTGAAACAACCAGCAATTTCTCTGTTACTTTTAAGATATCTCACTGCCACTTCAACTCAATGCAATCATTAATGACATTCACATAAAAGTGATGATGCACGGTATTTAGATAAATTGATGATGTAAGTAATCATCAACAGGAAAGATTCATCCAACAGCGACCACTAAACTCACCCAGATAATCAAATATTATAAGAAAACGGTTCAAAACGAAAAAAATCGTTCCAAAATTACCGGAAATTTTCCGTTTTATAACCAGCACGTGAAAAATGCAAAATATAGCAAATTGTGTTCTTTTTTACTGCTGGCAATGTTCATGGAATTATTGTTTAAAATTTATCATTTCTCAAAATGAGAAAGAGTCTTTTTGGTTTCATGTCAGTAGGTGGAACTATGGTCATGAGTACCCAAATATAGGAACGTTCCCATTTTTGGGAACGGAGTTCCCAAATATGGGAACGGGCGTTCCCATTTATGAGAACGGAAGGTAATTTTTCGGCCGTTCGCCCACTAAAACTCATTAGTGCATCACGTCTCAAAAAAGTGCACGCTAATTTAAGTATCTACTAAATCTCTATAAAATTATCTTTAATCTGACCGTTGAACAAGGAAATTGACCGTCGAATGATATTTTTAATGATTTTTTTTTTTAATGACGGAATGGTGAAAACATGGGTTATACTACATTTAACATGCAATTTAAAGGAAAATGAAGCGTTTTTTACATTTTGAGGTCAAGTATAAGAATTTTCGCCTGGTTATGAAGTTTCATACTAGCGACACCAGATGCTGACATATGCAAGCGAACACGCGGACAGTCCCGAGGTAATATTGTTGACTTTTGGTCTCGGGGCGCACGACCGCGTGGAACGTCAGTGATTTTACCGAACTACTGTTGTAAACTCAGTTTCAGTGGTTTAAAATTATTCAGCTGTATTTTATCAGCCCGGAAAGACATTTTATTTGGATGCTAGCTGTTTAGCATTGTTTTATAAGGAGCGTCATGAGCGTGGTTTTTGTCTTCCGTGTTTCTAAGCATGATCGTTTTGGGGGAATTTCTCTTATATAGGTCGCTCTGTGTGGCTTATTTATAATTTTTATGCTGATTTCGATCATTCCTCGTGCCCATCCTACCAGGCCTTTTGCCACTTACACTCATTAAGAAAGGAAAAAACTAGATTTTCCATGGGACTAGGTGTTTTGAGGGTGTAACATATTCAGCGTTCCCATTTTTGGATACTTCCTTGTGCTCGTCAACTATCGGTGATAAGCAGACAGGTGCTTGACATGTCTCCACCCTCGGCGCGGACGGTGGATATAGGTATGGAAGACCTTGTTGAACATCGCTGAGCGTTGTGAATTACGTAATCCTGCAGAGGGGGGCGTGCCCGCTGCGAGATCGACGGGAATAAAAGCGCAGAAGACCGGGCGAAACATGCGACGGTCTTGCCGGAAAGGTCATCTGATGATTGTTGCTTAACAATAATTTGCGGCGTTGGACATGATGCTTGTTAATGAAAAGAGCCCCTGAAAGGCGTCGGTGAAATCGTTCCCAATTTTGGGTACGCCGTTCCCATAATAAGGAACGCTTGCAGCGCCAGTGTACGAGAGCGTTCCCAAATTTAGGTTCGCGGCCCGGATGATGGACTGCTTTAGAAATAGGGGAACGATTTGAAACTACGATGGGCCTTACAATATCAAACTCTTTCCCAACAATATTGAGACAAATATCAGGCGGTTCACGATCGTTTTATATTTTTTGGACGTCATTTAACGGTTCTTTTTCTTGTTTTAAATAATTCCTACATGGCGTTCCCATATTTGGGTTTATCGTTCCCAAACATGGGAACGAAAATGCGTTCCCGAAAATGGGTACGCTTGACCATAGTTCCGCCTACTGATGTTCAAACAGCATATTTACGTCTGGACAACGAGTTGCGTTGGATAGGCCAGAAATAGTGGCGATTTCAGGGCCGCAAGAATGGACCGTCATTGGAATGATTCTTTTTTGAACCGTGCACTGTTTTGGGCCGAAATTTAATAGTTTCTACAAAATATTTTGTAATTACGTTTCCACCAAGAATGAATGTCATCAGGGCTAAATTTTTACTACTATTGCATTTTGTCAAGAAGCATTTAGTGCTGTTATATTGCAGTTTTAGCGCGTTTGTTACAAAATATGAAGCGAATAAGCGTCAGTGTTGGTGTAATGGGGATAGCTTTGATTCCACATTAAGATAGGATCCCACGTTGTTTTTGCTACCGGGTTCACATAAACCGGTTTAACGTAAGACTTGCTGCCCGGCGAAAATTGCCGGAGTAACTGCCCCCTGCTCGGGTATGGCACTAGGCCGACCGAGCAAAAAAAAAAAAAAAAAAAAAAAGGAGCATTCCGGTCTAGGGGTAAGATACTTGCCTCTAGATTCGGCCATCCGGGTTCGATTCCCGGGCAATGCACGTGGCATTGCCGCTACCTGACCGCTTGGAACAGCGTGAGAGTTCCGGTTAGCACCTTGGTCCACTGGATGTGGTGCTTAACCCAAAACCAACCAACCAACCTGTTGGTGTAATTCATCAACAGTGCCAGAAGCAAGGCTATATAAACCAGGTAGAACGCTCCGGGAAAAAAGTTGGAAACCAGGTGTTGTCCATCTGAACTTGACAGTCACGTGACCCATTTGCGATGCGATGCGATGCGATGGTTTTCGGAGGTTTAGCCTTTGTATCGGCACCTCCTTGATTTCTTAATCTTTAACTTTTACTTTGATCGATGGGTTGCATTGTTATGGTTGGTTTGTGTGGCTAGGATTCTCACTAGGGGACAGGATTGGGTGTTGGGAGGATGAAGGTCAACTAGGATGGAGAACTTTGTTTTATTTCCAGCAGTCTTCTTTTCTTCCACAGCTTAAGCAATACTTCTTTCTTTTCTTCGATATCTTCCTCCTCAAACAGAAATATCCCTAAAATATCCTTTGCATAGGGTTTCTGAAGATGCATTGATTCTTTTCTTTCTTCTTCGTAGGCTGGGCAATTCAATATAAAGTGGGCGAGGTCTTCATTTTCTGCATTGCACATCATACATCTTGTGTCCTCTTTCTTGTATCTCTTGCGCTCATTTAGAGGAAGACAGTTAGCTCTTGCCTGGAAAAATATTGTTGATGCTTGCTGGTTGTCAATAAACGTTACTTCCTTCATCTCCTTTTTCCAGACAATATACAGGGACAGAGTAGTTTTAGTTAACAATTCCTCCTTCCATTTCTTTCCATCCCATTTTTGCATGTGTGTTTTAAGGTCTTGTTTGCTTATCTGATACAAATCCTTTACTTTGAGTCCGACTTCCTTAATAATGGAATAGGTTACCTTTATCCATTTGTTCTTGCCCTCGTCCATCATTTCTGTTAACACCTCTTTGAGTAGTTGATTTTTTCCTTGCAATATGCTTCTCATGTACTGAAGTCTTCCAGTTTTAATCCTTGTTGTCATCAGAGATGCTCCAATTTCTCCTCTCAATGCAGCATTTGGTGCATATTTTGGAGCCCCCAAGATCTGTCTGTAGACACCATTTTCGATTACTTGCAGCTTCTTGGTCTCTTCCTCTGTGACTGTCATGACACTGGAGCCGTACAGTATTGATGGCAGTGCTAGGGATTTCCAGTAGGTCTTACCAATCAGCAGTCTGTTGCATGATTTTGAAATTACTGAATAGGTCATGTTTGCCATTCTTTGTGCCTTTTCAATCATGATTCTTTTCTGCCCTCTGAACACATCCCTTGTATTTGTTACTTTCAGACCTAAGTATTTTATGTTTTCTTTTACTTCAATATCTTCTATGCTTCTGTGCTGTTCTTTCAGATTAAATGTGATAATGTTGCTCTTATTCTTGTTTATGTCTAGTCCACACTCCTTGCTAATTGCTGTCAGTCTTCTGATGCTAGTCTCTGTTTCTTCAATAGAATGGTTCAGTAGGAGCCCGTCGTCAGCAAAGAATAGGATTGGCAGCGTAAATTTGCAGCTTCTGAACCCTGCTTCTGTTGCCTCCATTACTTTTGTGATGATATAAGTCATGAGCTTGAAGAAGGCAGTTGATCCTGTACACCCTTGCCGTATACCACTTGTTACTAAAATCTCTAACTTAATGTTCTCATTTAGTTCAATCCAGGTTCTGTCTCCTTGGTATGTGGCTGCCACAGCATCAATCATTTTGGGGTGAATCTTGTATTTCATGAGCACCTCTACCATCCTAGCTCTATCGATGGAATCAAACGCCTTGCTGTAATCAATTGAAGTAACAATCAGAGGTGCCTTCATTTTAAAGCTTTCTTCCACACAGTACTGTAATAGGAAAAGGTTGTCCTCTATCCTTCCTCCTCTCGTAAACCCTGCTTGTGTCTCTAACTTTTGCTCTGCGCTTTCTAGATGATCTTCTAGTCGCTGTTTTAGAATTGACATGTAGATCTTATATGACACATTCGTTAAAGCAATTGGTCTCAAGTCTTTGGCAGTTGGCTTAGACGTCTTTGGTATCATTTTCGTCCTTGATATCTTCCATTCTGATGGCGTGTCACTTCTCTCGAGGACTTCTTGGTAGCAGCCTGTCAGTATCTTCAAGCATTTGTCATTTTTTATCAAAGCTTTGTATAGTTCTGGCTTGAGTTCATCTGGTCCTGCCGCTGACTTGTTCTTAAGCCTGCCTATACATTTGGTGACTTCTTCCTCAGTTATTTGTATATCTTCCATCTTCTTCATCCTCTTCCTACTGTTCATGGCCATATCCATATGTTCTCTCAGTGTGATTGGGAAACTATATCCTTTTATTTGTATCTGGTCCTGGTTCTCTTTCTCCAGATCTGCAGTATAGGTTAGCTTCGCCCTATCGTTCCACACTTCTTCTAACTTGTTTTCATGTCTTTGATAGATTTTCTTCCAGACACTTGCTAAGTTTTCCTTTTCTTCTTCTCCTTGCAGCATTTGTCCAGCTTCTGTGAATAGGCGAACTGGACTGTTATCCTTTTGCTTTCCTTTAAGTTTGTTGATATTCTCCCAAAGTGCCTTGCTTTTGTAGCTACTATAACGTATTTCGTCAGTCACTTTCTTTTCATGCTTTGCTATTTCTTCCTTGATGAGTAGCTTTGTCAGTCGTTTCTGCTCATAATATTTTTCATATAATCTGCTCTTTTCTTCTTCTGACTTTGCATTTCTCCTGAGTCTGTTGAAGGCTTTCCTTTGCTTGATTTGTTTCCGTATTTCTTCGGTCATCCATGGTTTTTCTTTGATTTTTTCATTCTTTCTGTCAGTTTTTCTTCTGTACCTTCTTGTAAGCAATTTCTCTGCCACGTCCTTCATTATCACATTGAGATCTTCCATTAGGCATATGTTATCAGCTTCTATTCTCTGTAGTACCTCTTGCACGAAGCCCGACAATGATTCTTGGTCTGTCTTAAAGAAGTATTCATCTTTCCATTTAGCTTTATTGAGACTCAGTGACTTTTCATCTTTGAAAAACACTGTGATCATGTTGTGATCTGATAGATCTAGTAGTTCTTGACTTTCATCAATTTTCATCTTAAGGATAGACTGATGCATCTTACT